CTACGCAGTCCGCAGCACCTGACCCCTCGTACGCGTGGCCTACGCAGTCCGCAGCACCTGACCCCTCGTACGCGCGGCCTACGCAGTCCGCAGACCTGACCCCTCGTACGCGCAGCCTACACGGTCCACAGGCCTGACCCCTCGTATGCGCGGCCTACGCAGTCCGTAGGCCTGACCCCTCGTACGCGCGGCCTACACGGTCCACAGGCCTGACCCCTCATACCTATGAGCTACGGGTACTAATGTGTGCTTCTGTCTTCCAGTCACCTGCAGGTCAGTGTATTTCCCTATGAGGTCACCATGCTGACCCGAGTGCTCTCCATGCTCCCCTCCCCCCGGCTGGATGAGGAGGTGACCTCCCGTGTGGATGATCTCCTCCCGCAGTGCAACCTCAGCGACCTCAACACCTTTGCCACCGCCATGGCCAAGTGGGTGCGCCACGACCCCTCCTACAGGCACGTGATGCCCCGAGTGTACGTAAAGCTGCTCCAGAAGCTGAACCACTGCGGGCTGGAGAGGCTGCGGAAAGCGGACAGTCTGGACCTGCTGCTGGAAGAGCTCAAGTACGTTCCCGGGGAGTGGTTTGAGGAGGTGCTGCTCGAAGAGACCATGCTCAGTTTGCAGCGGCTGATAGATCAGATCTCTTGGAGCAATGTACCTGAACTGGCAGTTTTCCTGACCCGAACCAACCACCTATGCACACCGCTGCTGGACAGAATTGCCAGTGTTAGCATGGAGCACATTGAAAAGGTACGAGTATCATTTCAACAGCAGCCTGGATAAATCAGTAGAACCTCACTAGATGACATGTTCATCTGTGTTCTTATCCTCCCCTGCACCCATACGACTGATTATGGCATCTTGGATATCTTGGTGAATGGAGTAACACAGTGGAGCTGTGGTTAGCATTGCTGTGTGCTCTGGGTTCAGTTCTGGACCTGGGGTGCCATCAGTGTGTTCTCTCCATGTTCGCCTCCAGGTGCTCTGGTTTCCTCCCACAGTTCAAAGACATGCTGGTAGATTAATGGGATTCTGGGAAAATTGGCCCTTGTGTGAGTGTGTCTGTGTCTGTGTGTGTGCGCAACGATGAAATGTTGTCCCATCCAGGGTGTATCCCTGCTTGTGCCCTTTGCTTGCCTGATAGGCTCCTGCTTCCCCGTGACCCTACCAGATAAAGCAGTCAGGAAATGAATGAATGGATCTTGGCTTATTTATTTGCAGATTCATTATTCAGCAATGTATGCCACCATCCTCCCCTTCACTGTACTGAATTATGATCCCCCACAAGGTGACGAGTTTTTCGACGCCTGCATCCAGCACTTGAGACCCCATATAAGTAAGTAGTCTTTTTCAAGGTCTGAAGTAGTTCAAGTAGGGAGCTGCGTCAGCATGTGTAGGCATCAAAGGAACAAGTAAAGGTTTATTCCAATCTGAAAAGAGAAGAAAAGAAACACAGCAGTTTGCTTGTGGAGCTACACACCCAAAGAAGGCTCCACAGCCGAAAGATTGTTTATTTTCTTCTCTTTTCTGCATGGAATAAACCTTTACTTGTTCTGTTCCAAGGTTTTTAAGGTGGACTTGTACAAAAATTACTTTTGCCAGACTACTTGCAGCCTGGAAAAAGCTATACCACAATCTAGATGACACCTCTTGTAGTATAGCAGGCTTGATTGTGTCTGACTGCAAAGGTCCACAGCTAGTGTTAATCATTTTTGCACCTCCAGAGAAGACCTGGAGTCTAGTTCTCTCTACCCTTTGTGATATTTCGTTGACATGACCCAATTTACTCCCCTCTCCCTCTTTATTTTAGACACAATCTCTGATAGAGTGTTGTATGTACTCCTACCTGCTAGTGTGCTATTGTTAACATTATTAACAATAATGTAGAAATAAATGATCCACAAAGAAGCAGGGAAGAGGGAGTAAAAAGCATTTCTGGTACATTTTTTTTGCCAACAGGATCCATGCAGTGATCATGCAGTTATGTTAGGAAAATGCAGTTTCATTTTTAGTTTTTGATGGATGTTTCGTTTTGCAGGCTCGTTTGATCCCCACCTGCTGGTGCTGCTGGCATATTCTTTGGCAGTGGCTGATTGCTTCCCAGAAGATGTGATTCGAGAAATCTTTAATGTGGATTTCTTGGCTAAGCTGGACGCACAGTTAGAAAGTTCGTAAACCACTTTTTGTTTTGTCTGAACTGGAATTTCTGGGGGCTCCAATTTCATTTTGGTTATGTTCTGAGTTTTGCCTAGCACCATTACGGAAAACCTATTGTTAGTCATTGACTGATGTAGATTTAAAGTGACCTTTATCCACTATCCATGAAACCAAGTATTCTCTCTTCTGTCTTGAGCCATGGTCTGAATCTCTGGCAGATTTATTAGCAAACAAGATTAGCAAACAATTTCCATCAATACTTTTATTGCTGAGTCCTAAATGAACAAGACTTCTGTTTGAATTTTTGTTTTAAAGAGTTTTCTTATTTCTAGTAAAAATAATACTTTTAACTATCTGCTTGATTTCTGAGAGAACATCCAGCCACACTGTAGGACTGAGAGAATGCAACCTACTGGTACCCACTAAGAGAACCTTTTCATTAGCCTTTGAAGGATTGAAATAACCCAGGCAGGAAAATCTCTTTTCAGGAAACCGCACCATTGTAAACTATATGGCACTTCCCAAAAGGTGAAAAAGTAAATACAGGAGTGATGTCATAAGAAAGATTTAAATATTGACAGAGAGTCATTTTCAGCCCTCACTTACTACTAACAGTAGGGAGCAGTTGTAAGACCTGGATTTAAATCTCCCCTGCCCCTGTTTTAACAAGGCTTTGTTTGTCAATGGCAGCTCTTCCTGACGCCCTGAACATGCGAATAAGATTGAGGCTGATGGAGCTGAACAGAGCCGTCAGCTTAGAATGCCCAGAATTCCAGATCCCCTGGTTCCACGAGAGATACTGCCAGCAGCTCCTGAAGAAAGGTAAGTCCGAGAGCCTGAGGGCAGGACAGGAGCTACCAAGACCTACCCGGGACCTGGGGGAATTCTTATGTACTGTACCTTCATGTATCTGTGTACAGACAGCCATTTGATGCCTTTTAGTACCACTAATCTTGAATACTAAGGTGTTAGAGATAAGGAAGGTGGAGCTTTCCTAGTGAAAGAGAGAATACGGGAGTATCCACTTGCTTTGCTTAACAGCTGTGCACAATCCAAGAAGTGAGAACATATTAAAAAAATAAATAAAAGCCCTGGAGATGCTGGGAGAGCTTGATTTGAATTTCTCCCATCTAAAAGTGACCATCTGCAACAGTAATTCACAAACCTGTAAAGTTTTAATCAAATATGTTGATAGATTTATGGAGGACTTTGGAATTTTGGGTGGGTGTAGGAGTTTATATCTTTCAGGGAGGGAATGTTCACACTTCCCCATGCCTCACTCTCTGACAGTAGAATAGATTATTTTAATGAATTTAATTTACAATAAGTACATATCTGAGACTGTGGAATGTACTGCATCAGACCATGCAGTATTACTGTAGGACCTAATGGTGTACTCGGAGGAAACATACTGAAATTAACTTCTATGGGACGAATTTCAAAGAGCTCAAATATTATTGAACTACAATCCGAATTAGAACTTTTGGGAGAAAATTGTTGAAATGAAACAAATAACTACATGCTTTTGAGGTTGTATAAATATAAATGGGCAAGATCATAAGAATCGTCTGTGCACTCTATGTAGATAATATCTCAACCTGTTGTTTCCTTTAATGGAGCGATGGCAATCCTAAAGGAATATTTTGAAATTTTAGGGGAGAAACTGAATGTGAAAAAACAAGTTGTTACATGATGTCTACCAATCAGACCAATTGAAACCTGTTTCATCTACATTACATCCCATTGACTTTAAAATGCAAAGAGAATATAGCCATATTAAATATACTTTGCTTTGTAGAGTTCTAGATTTGAAGCTGTTAAATTTAATATTGTACCATGACAGCTATCCCTGTTTCACAACCTACCTGTAGAGGTCTCCTGAGCTTTCCAGTTCATCACCTCATTTACAGATTTAGTGGGAAAGGCAAATGCAAAGAATCAGTCTTGAACATACTCTTGTATTACTACTTTCAATTAAGGCCAGAGGTATGGTGGTATCACCCTGATCATACTGTAATACAAGATGGAAAGTAAATAGATTTCTGACATGATTGCATTTGGAGGATTAATTATTGACATAAGCTCTATATTAAAGTGAAATGTTTTCCACAAATAAACATCTTCAAAAATGTAATTCTTCTTTATAAATATATAACACATTTACAAAAATAAAACAGTTAAAAATATAAAACACCTTCAACACAAATATTTTAAACAAATAAGTGTTGCTCTATAACTTGTGATATAATGGGCACATTATGTCATAAGTACACATCTGGCTCACTGCCCACCCCTACGACTTGCGACTCACTACGAGAAAATCAAACCAGTTTGATTATATCGTAGCGAGCCGCAGAGAGTTGTAGGGGCTATTAAGAGTGCTATGAGGGAGTCACTGGGGGTGTCACACTACACAACTGATGGTAATTGGCGTGCACTGAGACTCTCTACAACTCGCTGTGATTCTCTTACGATTATGTAAATGAAGGCTACGACTGAAAATCCTGGGAAAAGTCGTGTAGTGTGACACTGACATAAGGAGATTTCCTGGATGCCAAGCAATGTCTGGACTGCAGCACCCAATCTGTGCTCTGGGAGAGCATCTGTTCTGCTTCAGCGACACGGGAGACCCCTGGCTTGCCTTGCTGGAGCTCTGCCTTGTAACACTGTCTTACGCATTTTTGGCTGACCGCCCTAGCAGTGGTCCCATTGCATTTCTCCACGTTTCGGTCTGATAACGGAGAGCTCCAGGGGTTTGCCTTTATCTGTGCTCCACCTATTGCCCTTGCCAAAGACCAGCCTGAAAAGGGAAAAAAACGGAACATGCCCTGTGTGTCAGTTTCTGTCCAAAGAGTCAGAGTCAGGCTCATTCGAGATCTTCAGCAGCATCGTCCTTTCGCTTCAATTGCAAATGTTTCACCCTGAAGGCTAACATTTTGCAAAAACATTGTATTGTCGCAGGTAATGGTTCTGTCACTGCAGTCCAGCAGCAAATTCATAAGATGCTGGGGGAGATTCTAGGAGGAATGAGTTATGCCAAAGTGTCTGTACTCACGCCTTATTTCTATGTAGTCGGTAAGTTGTATAATATTACCTTTGGAACTAGTGTACTTTGCTTCATATGAAATTAATACCAAGAAATGTAATTGAATTTGTCCAGGTCGATGCAGTACTGCCTGTAGCATACATTTAAACCACAGAAGACTCATATTTCTAAAACGAGCAGCACTTTAGAAATTTAGTCTGTTTTCTCTTAATTGTAAATATCCAGAATTTGCTCTCTGCTATGGGAGTCCACAGTCTCTAGACTAATACCCTGGATGACTGTTCCTCCAGAATTTGAATGCATCTTGGACAGAAACAAGAAGCCTATCCCTTACGTGGAGCACAGCAGGTTGCTGATCACAGAAGAAGGGAAGGTGCAGTGGGGTCCTGGCAGTCCTGTGAACGACAGAAGTGAACTTCCGCCGGGAGCTCAGCGGTAGGCCTTTAACGTTACAGTGTCCTCCATCGCCAATCTATCCTCCATCCATTTTCTAACCATAATTCAGGGTCATGGGGGAGCCCGAGCCTATCCCAGCAAGCAATGGCTGCAAATCAGGACACTGACACAGCCACGCACACACTCACTCCAGGGCCAGTTTTCCCAGAATGTCTTTGGACTGTGAGAGGAAACTGGAGCACCCTGAGGAAACCCACACGGACACAGGGAGAACATACAGGCTCCACACAGACAGTACCCCAGGTCCAGAATTAAACCCAGGGCCCCAAGACTGCGAGGCAGCAATACTAACCTCTGCGCCACTGTGCTGTCCTTCATTGCAGACTTTGTCTCGCGTATCTCCACACAGCTCAACTTTACAAACACGCATTAATGAAGAGCAGTGTCTTCACTTTTTATAATAATAATAGCTTACACTTTATAGTGCTTTTTGGACACTCCACTCAAAGCGCTTTACAGGTAATGGGAACTCCCCTCCAGCACCACCAATGTGTAGCCCCCATCTGGATTATCCAACGGCAGCCATAGTGCGCCAGTATGCTCACCACACATCAGCTATCAGTGGGGAGGAGAACAGTGGGGATTATCAGGAGGCCATAACTGGTAAAGACCAATGGATGCCAGGACGCTGGGGTGACACCCCTAGTCTTTTCCAGAAACACCCTGGGATTTTTAAGGACCACAGAGAATCAGGACCTCGGTTTTGTGTCTCATCTGAAGGACGGCACCTTTTTACAGTATAGTGTCCCCGTCACTATACTGGGGCATTAGGACCCACACAGACTGCAGGGTGAGCGCCCCCTACTGGCCCCACTAAGACGTCTTTCAGCAGCAACCTTAGTTTTTCCCTGGAGGTCTCCGATCCAGGTACTGACCAGACTCACACCTGCTGAGCTTCAGTGGGTTGCCAATTGTGAGCTGCAGGGTGATATGGCTGCTGGCTATAATTTAACGTTTTTTAAATCAGACTACAAATTCAGACTACACTTTCCAGAAGAAATCATTACATATATAAAGTATCATCTCAAGGTACCAGTACAAAAGTGTGAATAAGTTTAATGAATGTTACCTGCTAGTACTGGATGACTTCTTTATCAGAAAGTGTTCTTTCCTGTGCTTTCTCCTCAGTGTTGCTGTGGATTTCCTTGACTCTAAATCCTTCTGTAAAAATTCCCGTCACATGAAAGGAGAGGCTGTGATGAGAAAGAGGCACCTAGAGATCCTGGGATACAATGTAGCTCAGGTGAGCAGAAACTGTAATGTTCTGCGCTACAGGACAAATAACATATAGTGTCTTTGGTAAAGGAATGTTGTTTCTTCTGCATTGCAGTTTCGAAAATAAACCTCTGATCTTGAAACTAAGGTTCAAAACTAACAAGATCATCTTATTTTGTTGACTTAATTTCTTTATTTTAAACAGATTCCTCACTTTGAATGGAATTCAATGGAACTCTCAACACGGGACGCTTGGAAAGAATACCTACGAAAGAAGATATTTTCAGAAAATTCTTAAATGGATTCAGTTTTCATATCATAATAAAAGACTTGTTTTTAATTCTGACTATCATTCTGTGTGGAACAAAAATTAGTTCTATTTTTCTTGAAAGCGGCATTATTTTACTTCTTCCATTTTCTGTCCTTCTATAGAGGGCAGAATGAGTTAAGATGGTTCTTTCTTATTTTGTTGTCTTATGTGAAGTTAAAGCAATTTCACATACAGTATGAACCACTGCTTCACGTACTATATTTTAGTAGACTACACGTTTTATCTTAATCTCCAGCTGTTTCTAAACGTTTTTTAAAATTCACAGGAAGAAAGGTCCCCAAGGATTAGATGCATTTGAGAGTATTTATTGACTATTTAGATTGGTCTTGACTGAGGCTCAGCCCCGTGGCCACAGGACAAGGACGCTGGGACTCCTGTGCAGAGTGAGAAGTGACCAAGAGGCAGATGAGTGGGGTGAAAAGAAGAGAGATTTGCATATTTACTGCTATAAGAAATGAGCTTCACTTAAGAACTTACTTTAAAATAATTTCTATCATTTTATCCATGTTTTTTATGTTACTGGTACAGAACTTTTAGATGTCAAATTGCCTACTAGCTCTGCATTTATGTTGTCTCAGAATGCAGGTAAATGGTGTCTCTTTTGAAGAATCATTTACATATGTACTGCTTAATCCTCTTCTATGCCTGAATACACTAAAATGTTCTTAGGATTGAACCATGCCACTAGCCCCTTCTTACAAAACGCAAAGCATGGAAATTTAGAAAGCTTACATTTTAGCTCTGATTTCCATGAAGGCTAGGAAAAGGTGTCTTGGAGTGATTGTGCTTAGTAATAATCCTTACATTCACTGAATGCTTTTACTTCCAGAGCTCTTTACACATGGAAGGGGACTTACTCTGAAATACTGCACTCACCTGGTTGATACACTTGTGCCAGCAGTCCCACTACAATCTGTAGCAACATAGCGGAGAGGAAGTGACATGAACAAACTGCTTCACTGAATTAAGGGGGAATTTTAGGAAGGCCACTGTACAAACACACAGTGGAATTTGGTCAGGACACCAGTCAGAACCCCTACTCTAAAGTGTCATCGGATCTTTAATGACCGAGTATTTGGGACATCAGTTTAACATTTTAGCTGAAATACAGCTACTCTTACTGTGTCCCTGCTCATGGTACTGGGACACTGGCTCGGGGCTTGGAGTTTCTGGTCCAAAAGGTAGATTGGTAATTACTAGCCCACTGGAACCAGGTGCAGCAGCAACCTCATTTTCCCTGGAAGTCTCCCAGTCTACTACTGACCACTGACATCCTTGCTTAGCTTCTGAGAATTGACAGGATCTGGCTATAAAGTGGACAATACTCAAACAAATTGCTTTATATTAATTTAAATTGTTTATTTTACAAAAAAAAATCAAAGCAACATAAAATACAGTTTGATATATCTGGCAATATATAAGTCACAAGTACTGTTTCTACTTCATTTATAACAAATGTGTTTCTTAACTGTCAGCTTTGTCTAGTGCTGGGAAGATTGATGTTAAAAACACAAGGGATGCTGTTAGGCAGCACGGTTTTTCAGCCTATAACATATTTCTTAGCCAGATGAAGATTGGAGGATGGAAAACTTAAAAGTTAAATCTCCCAAGTGTTAAAAACATTCAAACGACGTGCAGAAAATACATCTAGGCTGGACGGCGACTTGCTCTTCAGCCTTCGTGTGAAGCGCTCGTTTCGGAAGCACAGGAGGGCCGTCACAGCTTGGACATCTTGGTGACGTTGAGGCGGATGGGGAGGCAGGAAGCTCCAGAGGCGTAACGGATCTCCCTCAGCATCCCGCTCCACTGCTTCTTGTCGTCCTCGTACCTGTCGCGACAAGGGCAACCCCATCAGTCACCCGCGTCGGCACAAAAAACTCAACAGATCCTACAGGCAGTGGGAGCTGGAGGTGGAAAAACACTTAGGCCTCTACCGCCATTCTTATTTCTAAAATTGATGTTAAAGCTATCGAGAAACTTCCACTCAATTCATTTTAGTTCTCATCCAGACAATCATGTGTGTGGATGCTGATTAACAGCAAGTCTGTCTTGAGCAAAAAGGGTGTCCATCATTTAAGTAGTTTACGCCAGTGGTAATGAAATAAAAACCTACTTCCAGACATCGGTGATCTCTGATGGGGCAAATTCCTTGTTTTCGAGCTGAATCATGGCGAAGCCTCCAATAGCGTACAGAGACCCTGCGTTGCTGATGAGGTTAATGGAGCTTCTCTCTTGGGGAAACTCAGTCATAGCCTCCCACCTGACAATATAAATACAGAGGAGTTAAGAGTTTTTGCTAATCTGTAAATCACAATACTTAGTATAAGACAGTAATATTTGTTCTTTAAGTGAATAAAAGACATATCGCAGTATGTAATTTCCAAACAATAAGGTACACCATGAATAAGTATACAGTATTTAACGTTATTAACATTATTACATTCATCTGTCAAAGTCAAAATTCAGAAGAGCTAATTCTGCATGATTCACCTTTTTTCAGATTGGAAAAGAGGTTGTTGAAACACCTACTTGTTACTAGCAAAATCATAGACCTCACTCGCGGCGGTAAGGCCGTCTTCATTGACTCCGCCAGCCACAAAAAGTTTGCCGTTGTGAACAACAGCACCAAACATCGCCCGTGGAGATTTCATTGGAGCCAGCTCCTTCCACTCCGACTTCTTTGGGTTGTACACAAACATCTTGTTTACGGTTTTCCTGCAAAAGAGGGTGTAATTGTTTCGAAGATTAATCACGTCTTTTAGGCTTATCGCTGCACACAAGGAGATTTATCCTATTCATTCTCATTGAATTGGGCACACATTTTCAGAGGACGCTGGGTCTTTTGTGCATGTTTATTTTCAGTAGTTTTTATTATTGCACGCCGATTTCTTTTCCCAGAAACTGAAGTCGAAGGATTGAGGTAAATAATCATCGTTTCACATCCTAGTGGTTCAGACCTCCTACAGCTGCATCCCCCTTCCATTCCTCCTTACTTGTCATCTGTCTTTCCTCCAATTGAGTAGACCAATCCATTATGCGAGACCACAGAGTGACCGTGGATCTTAATTGGCAGCTTTTTGCTCTCACTCCATTTCATCTCCCTGGAAGACAGATAAGGATGACATTAAAAAACAAGAGTGCCAAACACGAGCATAAACAGAGTTTTCACACTCGATTTCATTACATGGTGAAGTACACCCTTCCAGCCACACCTGTTGCCATAGAAGAGATCCTTTCCCCTCCCAGAAAGAGCTACGAGTTGCGTGCACGTTTTTAGCCTCTTGGGCTCAATGCGCTGGACGGCGGCCCTCTGTACTTACTGAGGATCAAAGCACAGCAGTGAATCGAGAGACTCATCCGTCTGAAGGTCCTTCCCTGCGACCGCGAAGATGAGGTTGTCGCTTTCAGCCAAACCAAAGAGACACCGGGGCGAAGGCATTGGAGGAAGAGCAATCCATTCACCAGCAATACTGTCAAGCTGTAACAGCGCACAGGAACGATGTATTGATTGATTAGAGCAACTTGTACTGGCACACACAGAGACTCTGGATTTAACTCTCTCCTCCAACCCACTCAATAACCCCAGGGCAGAAGACAATACCCAAATAACAAATTACACAAAACTATATTAATCCTTACTGATGTATAATGCCAAAAGGATGAATTTAGTTCATCCACAAAATCATTAGTCTACTAAACTTAATGATTTCCTTTTCCATCCCAACTTTGAAAAGATCTAGTGACATATCCTATAAATATCTCCTTCACAACATTTTATGAATGCTATTTCAACTATTTCCAGCGGAATTATTCGTTTTGAGCTCTTCCTGTAAAAAACAAAAAATAATTTACCTGGTAGAAGTAGCACTGCAGGGGAAATTCTTTGTTTTCCTCGTCCACAAACAAACCTCCAACGATGTAGACTTGGTTGCTTTTGGTGATCAGACTGACATGGTTTCTTGGAATTTGTTGTGCCATGGCAGCCAGGTAGCACTCATTCTCACTGGGGTCATAGGCCACAGCAGCTGTGTCATTGATCATGAGGACAAAGTCTTTGACATACATGCCATGTCTGGGAATGTCATTAAGGTAACCAGGCAACAGGTCTTCATCTCCCACGTCGCCGTTCACCACACCTTCCCCAGCCTCACCTGTTTTCCCTTTTTCTGGGAGCTTTCCAGCGAAGGCATCTTTAATCACCTGAATTTTCTTGAGCAGCTCAGGGCTTGACTTAATAATGTCATTCTTTTCCACGTGCTCTTTGAAGTACTTCTCAGGCAGGAGACGGAAGCGGATACAGTCAAAAGCCTCGCTGAGGCTCTTGACCCTGTTCTGTTTGTCTTTTCTGACCCAGCTCATCACGGCCTCAAACACAAGCTCTTCTTTTTCCACATTCAACGCATCTCCACCGATAATGGCGAACAGCTCATGGGGGGCCAGCTGAAGAAAGTCATCTTCTCTTGCCAGGAGCTCGAATCGATCCGAAATGTAATCGCGTGCAGCCACAGCCAGTCTTGGGCAATTCAAGAGAAGCCCCAACCTGAATATGGCCAGGCAGTTGTTAGGGGCAAGTCGTTTCTGCAGATAAGTCACACACACGGTGAACACAGAGGGGATCTGGAAGCGACTTGCCACAGCAAAAATATCTTGCACATTCTCATCTGTGAGCTCTATCTCAGCCGAATAGAGGTATTTCACGATCATATCCATTATTTTGGGGTCAACATTTTCAAGAACAACCTCCTTCTTGCTCTCTTTCCCTTCTTCAGCAAAAAAAAGCTCACGGAAATATGGGCTGCATGCTGCCAAAATCAACCTGTGACAAGGCAAGCTTTTGTCCCCCACTTTGAGAGTACAGTCAACAAACTTGTTGTCATCCAGGAGTTCCTTGAGGCCATCTTGAAGCAGGGTGCTCTGGTAGAGACGGAGCTCTTCCTTCAGGTCTTTTGTGAGATCCATTCTGAGGAAATCTGGGCTGTAGACAGAGGTGAAGGCCCCAGTACTTGCCGGCACTCTGGTCTGGCTGGAAAAAGGCTGATCAATGCACAGTGCTCAGACTGAAGCCCCTGCAATTTAATCCTACCCCTCTAAATATAGCCACACACCCCAGCCTGCAGGAATTCAGGTTAGCCAAATTGGAAAGTTGTCCCTCTCCAGCAGCTGTCACAGACTGAAAGAAGCAACTGTGGATTTTGGTCACTATGGGAATTGACGTACAACAGTTAAATCCAGAAACATATACATATTTATATAACAATGACTAAAAATCAGTGACCAACTATTTATATAACAATGAGTACAATTAATGACCTATCTTCATCTTTCCAATAGGAACTATTAATCATTTAATTCAGATAGTATTGTTTATTATTAAGGATATGAGTAACTTTTCTAGATATGTATTTGGAAGTTTCTCTTAGGTACAGTTGATTTTCTTGTCCTAAGTATCTGTATATTACACTCTTCAAATTCAGCGAGGTAACTGGTAATGAAAGTAATATAAGGGACAGATCATTCAAAACAAGAAACGAAGAAGACAATCAATTTCTATTAATTCTATTTGGAGCCCAGCACATTTTACAATATTAAGTTTTTACTATTTCTCATTCTGTTTGATATCCTTTGATGTGAATTATAGCAAACATCCTTAACATTTTGCTAATCTATTAAATCTAAAGTTTCCAGTGTAGGACTAATGTATGAATTAATGAATAGTAAGTGAAAACATTACCCATGTATTTATTTCAATAACAGATTAAAAAAAACAGTAAAAACTCTGCTTCATTCTTAAAGCTTTAAATACAAACTTATCAAATATTTGAACATTTCAAGCATTGCCTGGAACAGAACAAGAATCTGAAAAACAATGACATCAGATCAGTCAATAAATATCTGAGTAAGAAGAATGATGGAAATGACACAGCTGTGTAGAATGTTCCTAGTAAACCACCACTGGTTTAAAATGAGAAGTGACTACTCACTGGATATACGGTGTTAGAATCATTTGAGAAAAGAGAGCCTTACATCACTATAAATGTAGATTGAAGCCAGGATTTTCTTTTCAGGTGACTAAAGCCAAAATTCTTGTTAATTCTATGTCCCTGGCTTCGTCTTAGAGTAGCCTTCCCGATGAACTGTGCAGAAAGCAGCTGCTAAAACAACAGCTGACAGTTTTATTTTCCCATTTGTGAAACAGTACAGCAACTCTGGTTCATTTGTAAATACCCACTGTATTTGTGTACTCACTACTTTAAAACAACAAATGACACAGTGTTCCCCTCATGCACAGGTGCCAGTGCCAATGAAATGTGTACAGTGAAATGACAAGTGTTTAGGGCAAATCTTTTTATCTATTTTTTATTTTAATAAATACTACAAACCATAAACTTTCTCACTTCTTTGAATAATTAAGTTTTAATTGAGGTAATGTCTTACAATGATTTATTATTCAAAGATAATGTTTTGAATATAGCCTAGAATTATAAAATCTACCCAATAACTATACTTTCACAAAAATAATAATACAAGTGCAGATCTATACAATATTATATACAAAATTAAACAATTACTCTCAGCTGAAATCTTTAGAATATTTTATCACAGATTCTTCAAGTAATGCAATAAATTAAATACTCTAGAGTCCATAGCTTTACAATTTCAAACACTGTACATTTTGTACATGAACAATTAACGATGAAAGCCTTATTGGTCCGTTCAGCAGTGGCTCAGGGTATCAACCCATAACCTCCCACAGTCCTTGAAGAGAGAACCCTTCTTTCAGTTTCTCAACAGCTAGCCCCAGTTCTTCACAAAACACAGGCTCCCGATCTTGAATCTTTTCAACAAAAAATAAACAATACAACAGGAAATGAAAAATTACTATAAACATATTTAACAGGTAAAAATAAAACTGCATATTTTAAACCTTACCTTGTTACCATCTGCAAAGTACGCCTGGAAAAAAAAAATTGAAATTAACATAGTGAGATGTAAAGAGTTACAACAATAGTTTAGATCTACGTGCATGCAAGAAAAAATAACTGCATTATTATTCAAGCTCCATGTTCAGGATAGAACGCTAGTGACCTAAAGTATTTTTAATGTCTTCGGTCCATATAAGACAAGGTGAAAGAGAAAATCTTCAAATGTAAAATAACTGTTATAACCTGGAATTCTGAATGAGTTGAAAAAGTAGAAAGTACATAAAAATCCCTTTACACATTCAGATACTGCTCATCCACACTGATATCCTATAATTGCTTCTATTAAAATAATCTTGCTATACCATTATAACTGGCTATATAACATAAACGTAATCATATACTCAACACTTATTATTAAAATTAGAAAACCCATGGCAAATATTAAATTATTCAGTACATAGACTGCATGTACAAAGTTGGTACACATTCAAAAGCCAAATCTACCCCTCTACAGCTCTCAGAAATATATGAATGTACAGACAAATTTAGAACCCTGTATATCAGGGTTGGTACAGTATGTGCTGTATATGCATATGGAAAATGGCACCACAGGGCAAGTACATACTACTTGTGATTTATACATCTGTAAGTTACTTATTTGTGTGTGGGATTTGTCCATTGAGATTTTCTCAAAACGGCATACTCACCGCAAAAGCATCAATCTGCTCATCTGGCTCTATTTCAACATCATCCTGGGCCTGTTCCACTGTCAGCTCTTCCAGTGGTTGGGGCTAAAAAGGCACAAACCTGGTTCTGACCAAGGACTAAAAAAAACCCTGCTACCACTGTAACATACAAATACCAGAAAATAGCCCGATCTCAAAAGCAACTGAGTCAAATAAAAATACAAAGGCCAGGAGAAAAAGCAACATAATCTGGAATTATGATGATAAAAATAAACATATAATAGAGTATCGCTTCAACAGCGACTATAATCTCTAATACAGTGACTATAACTCCATAATTGTTGCCCATTTCTTCTTGACAGTATTTTTAAATACACTACTTTCAGATGTGTTAAGTTCACCTCTTACACTGAAGGCAAATGAAGACTTACCTTTTCTTCCATTTCATAGTCTACTCCAAAAATAGGACTAGCTGAATAAACTTTATGCAATGAATTAATCTCCTTTACTGCATCCTGTAGTTTGTCAATAGGGTCAATTTTAAATCCAAGAACATATCCCCCGCTCTAGAAAAGCAAGGAAATTACAAACAAAAAATTATGGATTATTTCATGGTTATAAAATACAACATCAAAAGGCTGTCTGCCATTGTCAGAGGAAGTACAGTAGATGAGATGTACCTGCACGAACCCTGCAATTTGTGCTCTTGAGGTTGGTATTGAGCAACAGATATAATATGTTCGAAACTTATATCTTTGAATTAACCATCTCGTTTTCAAGAAGTTAATCATGAAGTAAATGTAACCTCTCTAATACTGTACATACGTAATTGATGTAGTAGTCCCTACTAGTATTTAATATGTCTATTTTCAATGTATTTATTATAAAGAACTTATGATTCTACCAACATATAATGTAGGAAATACATGATGTAAATCCAGGATTACCTGCATAGAACTTTCTATCACTAATGCCAGTCCAAACTTTGAATCTCTGATCTTGATAGAACGCTTGAAAAAAAAAAAAAAACAATTTATATCACCAAGATAATGCTCTATCCAATATAAATTAAGAATAAGAATTTTCTAATTTAAAGAGTGGAGCACAGTTAAACAAAATAATAAATGCATTACAATTTCACTATACATACAGGCTACACAGGGTGATCACCTTTGGAAACTCTGTATGATTTTCATTAAACAAACTAGCACATTGCATATTTAAAAGTTAAAAATTGGATTAATAAAAAAAATATTACTTACAATCTGCAGATAAGGAATGCTGACATTAAAGCTGTCATTCATGTTAGCATGCCACACAATACGCACATTTGTGATAAAGAAGGTTCCCAAGTTACCCTAAAAAATATATACTTTAGAATTCTTGATACAGGGAGAAAAAAATTGACAGATTTTGTTGGCTCATTTTTATCTTTATGCGCTTTTCTGAATTCTGAGTATAACTAAATTATGTGGACAAGGAGAGTTAAAAATAGCAGTTGGGTAGTTGTATATTCTTGCACCGGAAGTTGTTAAAAATAAACCTAAGACTAGCTATCAGGGAAAGGTGAGGAGTGTCTTCCATGTAATTTAAGAAGCAGTAAGGGAATACCAAGGCAAGAGTGAACGATTATTTGCATTTGAGCCCTGTTAACATTAGACACATTTGGAACTGGAGAACCAGCGAATAATACAAAGTTTCTAACAACTACAGAAAGTCCTCACTGGAATAAGAAGTGTTCATAAAACAGTACTCTGTTTGCCTCTGCATATTCTTTTATTTATATTTCGAGTGTAAGACCACACATACCTGATCACTGGACAAATTCCAAACTCCATTGATTTTGTCATACACTTGCTCCTGGGGTAAAAGTCTAAGCTGCTTGTTTAGAATGAGGGCTCCTCTTAGTTTCAGATCACGGTACATTTTAGAAGTTTCATATGCTCTGCAAGCAACGGAGATGAATAAAATATTTTTTTATCAGGATTCACATCAGAGTGGAATTTACTGGTAATTATGTTACTTTTATAACCTAAAAAAGTGTTATGGGATTGATATAGTACATTCTGTACTTTGATACAGAAAATTGTTTAAAAAGAGGCACTGCAGTGCTCATTATTCATATTTCAAACTTCACCTTGTAGGTTGTGCTACGTACAACATAACCACCTCTGGGGCCAGTGTCAGATATTTGAATGTTTTCATTTTTTACTTGTATTCAGGTTTGTATTCGAGTGTCAGCATTGCCCTGTGTATAATGAATTTACAACTGAAGGTGTAAATTACCTGTGAACTGCAATAACCGATGTAAAGAGTCTCGGACTTCCAGGAACTACATTGGTAAATATGAATTCAAATCGGGTGTTGTTGCATTTAGTTAAGATGTAAAGTGCTTCAGTCTGCCCTCGCAGTTTCTAAAACAAAACAATGAAGTTGACAAACAAGTTAAAGTTTAAAGGTAAACAAGCTTTACACATTAGAATTAAGATATAAATTATATGCCTTCTCCAAAAAGACAACACAGGAAAGAAAAGGGAAAATTAGTTAACCTGATCTAAACAGAAAGGCTGGATAGCAACAAGATGTACTCACGGAATTAGCCGTCCTTGTTGTGATGTTTATAATACAGTTGTAGCCTACAGCTATTAAACACAAAGCAGAAACACAAATCAAATATGTTGGTTTATTGCTACTATTGCAAATTTAAAGCATGTCAAAGAATTACAGTCCCTACATTACACAATCCTGGAATATGTACTGAAATACTATGAGATCTCTTTAGCAAAAGCACTCTTGCAAATACAACAGTTTATTGACAATACATATGCAGATACACTATCTCAACATCTAAAACTCAAGGTTTCTGAACTCCAGCTATGGCTGTTATTTACAATTAGGCTTTGAAAAAAGTAGAACCTGTATCAATAACTTACAATAGTTTTACTACGTTTCTGCATATCAGGTGCAAGTAAACTTTTGCGATTAAGGTCACTTTCTCAAATAGTACTTACACAGATTGACCCGGGGCAGAGCCAGAGAATGCCAAATGATTCTTAAATTGGTCACCAAAAGCCTTCCTGCAAAATATGTTCAGTAAGCAAAACTGTAATTAACTCCGATTTCACACAGCCACCCAGGTGTTTAACCGCGGGGGAACACCTACCTCTGTCACCATTATTTCCCTTCGTGTCTTCAATGGAATCCAGACAATCTATCCAAACCTCGCCTGGCCTCGCCTTCATCTGCCTTTATGAAGTCGAAAACTAAGGTTAGTACACTAGGCCCTTTGATGTTAGACTAAAGATACGACTATTTTTACCGTTCTTAAATGTAGCACGAAATCCACTTAACCTCAATAATGTTTTTATCCTACACTTTATCCGGTAATTGAAGGCATTTCTTGGTAATGCGAGAATGTGTACTTTCACTTATCTTAAAATAAAAACGATATAGAAAGACTTATCCTGCTGACAGGGCTGGATTAGCGAAGCTGCAACAGAGCACATAAGACACTTATCCGTAGCTACTCGCCACATCGAGATAAACAATGCTAATCCTATCGGAAAACGAAACGGAGTATTTATGGTGAAAATACTCGCTACATTGGAAATAAACAATTCTTACTGTGGAGAAATATCGAATCGAACATCCCTGTCTTCCCAAAGCGCATCTAAAAGAGACGCCATTTCACTTTTAAAATTTTGGTTGTCAACTATAACGTGCGATATCCTGCCAACTGGACGGCCCCGCAGCTCCAGTCAGAGCGTCTGCGCGTCACCGTGGCAACATGACGACGGGTAGCAGAAAGGATCAAAATATTCATTAGCACAGGGCGACACAAGACCTCAGTAGCACGACCAGTTGCCAAAAAGCAGCTAGTCAACTGCGTGTAATGATCTGGTAGGGATCGACTGAAATGATCTAGAAGATCCCAGGCAAGGGAACACCTTATCTACACCTGCTGCTAGCTTAACCCTACCATATCACATTGCTCAGCATAACCAGACTGCATGACTGCAGTTTCTGCATCAGAAAGGGCAAGCCTTAGGTACTGGCAAAGGGTCAGACTGTGTTGAATCCCATTTAGGCATCAATGCCATTTACCCAGCAGCCTTGTCACCCTGCAGCTCAAATCTGGCAACCCCCTGAAGCTCAGCAGGTGTGAGCCTGGCCAGTATCTGGATGGGAGACCTCCTGGGAAAGCTAAGGTTGCTGCTGGAAGAGGTGTTAATGGGGCCAGCAGGGGGTGCTCACCCTGTGGTCTGTATGGGTCCTAATGCCCCAGTATAGTGACGGGGACACTATACTGTAAAAAGGCGCTGTCCTTTGGATGAGATGTAAAACTGAGGTCCTGACTCTCTGTGGTCATTAACACTCCCAGGGTGTTTCATTGTGTTTCTCAAAAATCCCAGGGTGTTTCATTGGCCCCTACCAATCATGGTGGGGCCAATGATGAGATGAGAAAACTGAGGGCCAATGATGAGATGTAAAAATGAGGTCCTGACTCTCTGTGGTCATTAACAATCCCAGGGTGTTTCTCAAAAATCCCAGGGTGTTTCATTGGCCCCTACCAATCATGGCCTCCTGATAATCCCCATTTATGAATTGTCTTCATTACTCTGTTCTCCTCCCCACTAATAGCTGAAGTGTGGGAAGTGTACTGGCTCACTATGGCTGCTGTTGTATCATCCAGGTGGGGTGTTGTATCATCCAGGTGAACATTGTTGATGGTGGAGGGGAATAAAACATAGATGAGATGAATAAAACATATTGTACTCTTCATCACATTATCTGTATAACTATATATTATTTCTGAGTATTTGAATATAACTGTATGTTTGCCATGGCATGAAAACATGTCATGTCATGTTAACTTTTGGGAAGTTAATCAATAATCCTTTTTGGATTTGTTTGTTGTCACAACTCTTTGTTTGATATGAGATACCACAACTGCAACCTTTTTGTACTTTAAAATCTTAAGACAAATGACTTAAAAATGTTTTTTATTTATGAAAATTCAAATAAAAAATATGACATAGCTAATAAAAACACACTTGTACACAAAATAAAACATGTTGCTTTATCAAAACAAACACAAAATGCTTCCAATGAAGAAAGGTAGGCAGGTAAAACACACTGTCTTTTGGAAAATGTATGTAGATGTGTTAGGAATACAAACATGTTTTAAAATTGTAGTACACAACAGATATATGTCCTGTTTCACACTGTTATTGTACAAATTTAAAACAGTAATCCAATATATCAGTCATTACCAAACCTTCATGCCTGATGACTACCAATGGATATTATATCCATTATAAATAATCATAGCCTTGACTGTATGTTTTTCTTCAATGAAATCTGCTGAAAAACGTTCCTTTGACATTTGTTAAGAAAATAATATAACAAAAAATCTAGTCTATCAGATCTATAATGTGATATAAGAATACATTATAGTATTGTTTCTTCTTTTATTGTAAAATGGAAAAATTATAGAGTATTGTAATTTTGCATTATAGAAGTTACAAAACATCAGTGTGTCAGTTACAATTATCGCTATAATTGCTTTGGACATTGAACACAGCATCTTATTTACTGGTACATATCACAATGGGACAATGATAACACAATAACACTTATACCTGGATGTTATATTTTGTCACATAAAAATAAAGAAAGCATACAAATGAGATGAGGCCATAATAGTAAATTATTCTAAATTCTCATCCATCCATTTCTTAAAAGCAACTGGTGTGTAAAAAAGTGCTTCAATGTATTCTAGTTCCTTGTCAACTCTTGTCATTTTTGAATTTAACAAAAAATGCAATGTTGTGAAATATAGATCTCTTAGGTCTTGCAGTAGTACTGTACAAAACAGAATGGGACATGAATTTTTAAGACCTGTAAGCAATGTTTCTTTTATTTTGGATGAGAAATATCACTATACAGTACATGAACGTTTTTACACTGTCTCTATGAAAATAAGCCCTGAGAAATGCCTGATTGCAGACTTCCTGACAATTAACAGTGACAAGAGCATACTCAGTAACTGTGTTGACAGCGTTCAATTCTTTTGTAGGACTTCCTATGTAATTGTCTGATTTCAGTTTGCTATTTTTTCTAAACTTGCTGAGCAAGTTGTTAGAAATGAAGTAGCTAAAACCACAGAAAATAAAAAAAAACGTTTTTTTTACATGCACTTCACTTTCTAAAAATAAGAAAGTAATGAAATGCTGAGTGTATTGCTACAATGCAAACCGAAAGGTATTCATATTTCTTACAATTCAATAATACATATTGAAATGCTTAACGGTATAAAATAATGACATATATTTAAGAAAAATGCATCAGTAGCAATCAGTTCAGCACAAAAGGGTGTCATTGGGACGCATAAGATGCTTGATCTTTGAATCAGCTTCTATCCCCTGTTGAAAGAAATAAAAAGTACAATTAATGGTTGTCCTTTAAGCACTTAAACTTATTCAGTTAGGAATTCAATAGCCGTACATCAAATTATTAATAGTTATCCATTTTTAAAAATGCTTCTTGTTACTGAAAATACATAATTGGCTACTGAGAGTTTTAAATGCACATATACTATAACTGGTGTTTTTCACATGTGTTATTTAGAATTGGCAGGTCATTTTGCGCCTTTGATACCTGACAATTTGGTACAGCCAACCACCCCTTCAGCCAAATTCTCTTGACTCACTACAGTACCCTACACCAAGGGACAACACGTGCACTGTAAGTGGAGTCTGACACACCTGTTCCTTTTTGCACTGAAATACTACAACAGGAGCAGCAGGTCTGTTGTGTCAGATGGAGACCTGACACAGGCCTTCCTGAAAAGGATAACACCTATGTCTGCCTGTTCAACAGCTGTAGCTGCTATATAATGAGCCAAAGGTTCCCCTGGTGACTGTGCAGTGTGGCACTGATGCCACAGGATGCAGGGGACATTGTCTACATAAAGTCATGTTTTCATTAGCACAGTCCAATTCTATCACACAATTCATTTTTTCATGGGATTGCTCTGTTTTTTTCCAAATTGCGCTTTTAGAAGATTATCCAAATTCACGTTACTGAACTTCTACTGCTGTTGGAGTAACAAGCTGAAGCCTGCTTGGTGCCTTATTCCACAGCTAATGGTTGGGTCATAATGTCAAGAACTTTGGCTTTGTTGGTGCCTTTGGGTGTCAGGTATTTACTGAGTGAAGCCAGAATATCTTTTTCAACAAATAATAAATCAAGGCCCATATTGGAAAAACAGCATACATCTGTCTCGCCTACTAACTGAAATGAAGGCAGTATTTTTTCAAATAAAACTGTGCATATGAATATAAAAGGGTTGAGAGCTGACCATTTGGTCCATGTACAGTAGCTCATTTAGTTTGTTACCAATTGATCTGAGGATCATCTCCATTTCCTGAAAGGAGCAAAGGTATCAGCTATGACAGCATGGCTGGGCAGCTGCTTCCAGACTCCTACAAGCCTTAATGAAAAGAGCTGTTCTTGGTTTTGAAGTGCTTTTCCCCTTTCTGTAACATTATGTGCTCTATAGTGAGGTTCTTCAAGCTTCCTTGTGTTAGCAGAGCTGTTCACATTTTCAAATCATACATGCAAATGTAGATAAAAAACTGCATTCTGAGGGGCATACCTGTTCTTGTCAGCACGCATATCTTTTTGCACTCTTCTTCAGTGTCAAAACGGTTATCGTTTCCACTACAGCCTCCATACCAAAACTGTGCACAAGCATTGGCTTGTTTGTCATAGTACCATCGGATGTTATAATCACGGCAAGGACCCTGGTCCAAGACCAAAGCACATCGAGGATCGAGGGGGATAAATTCTGAAAAAAAGAGAGGACACCTTAGGAGAGGACCCATAAACATTCATTACCCGGGGAAGTTGTATTTTCAGAACACATTCACAGGCCTTTGCTGTATGATCTCAGATTACAGCAAAGGATCAAAGCAGAAAAATGGGGCAAAATATTTCTTCAGAAAGTAGTGTTTACCTTTAGGCAGGACAGGCCTGGGTGCTGGTAGAAATTGGACTGAAGAAGAAGAGGATGATGATGACACTACCACAGTGGAAGACGAAGAATCCCTGCCTGGAGCAACTGGTTTGGGCTGTGGAGAAGGCACAGGTCTGCTGATGACTGAAGTGCCGCTGCCTTTTGCATTGACAGACGAAGAGTGGCTCAACACTTCTTTCACTGTCACTTCGTAAGGGTCTTCCAAATCTTCATCGATTTCTTCAACCTGCACAAGGAAATTCGCACATGACGTTTTCTGGGATGTAAAACTGCATTAGGTTTCCTTCGGGTAATTTAAAAACACTGAACTTAAATTCATCCATCCATCCATCAATTTTTTAACCGCTTTATCTAATTCAGAGTTGTGGGGGACCCGGGACCTATCCCAGCAAGCAATGGGCTCAAGGCAAGATACTTCCTATAGTGCACACACAGACACGCACACTCTCACACCAGGGCCACATTTCCCAGAAGCCAATTAAACTACCATTATGTCTTTGGAATGTGTGAGTAAACCAAGCATTGAGAGGTAACTCACGCAAACATGGGGATAACATACAAACACCACACTGATAACACCCAGGGAATTGAACCCAGGGCCCCAGTGCTGCAAGGCTGCAGTACTCGCAAGACCCAGCTTAAATTTAGAACAGTGAAAAATGCCCATAAAATATTTGAAATAGTTGGCATTGAAATTAGGCTGTCCTGAGAGGATAAAGGATATTTGATTCCATTAACAAAATCTTCAATTTCTCCTTCAGGAACATGTTAAATCTGATTTTATAGTTTTGCAAGAACTCTAAAAGTAAAAGCACTGAATCCAGGAAAGCTGGGGTTTACCGGCGTGATTACTATTATTCCAGTAACTGAAAGAAACCATGTTTTGAAAAAGTATACTTTGCAAGCTCTGAACTTCACAAACGTAAGAAATTCAGAGTTTTGTGAGGCAACCTGCTGTGAAGGCCGGCCTGTGCTGACGGATACAGCAGGAACATCTCCTCTTCCGACACTGGAGCTCTCACTGTGGGAGGTGGTCAGCCTGGTCCCGACCCGGAATTCCTCCTGGAAGACGTTTCCATTGGTTCCATACCCATTCACAATGCGATTGTACACCAGTGCCCCGTTCTCATCTTCACAGAATTGGCTCACTAGTTTGGATTCCAGAGCTGTGATGGGAACAATATGAATGATGCCAATTAGTTTGAAATGCCCGTTTTGGTCAAGGTATAGTATGTTACTGGAAGAGCGTGCCCCTTGGTGCTGGGTTGATGGGTGAAGCACAGTATCAGAAATTTGCTTAGCATGAAAACTTGATATGTAGGTTGACAATCTGTGAGGCGTATCATGCTGACAGTATTTTGGTTAATGGTTGAGGTGACACACATACCATGTGAAACATTGTGAATGCTAAAAACAAATATATACTGATGCACAATGGAAACACAACTTTTTAAATTAGCTATGTTTCAATAGGTCACTGGGTTCAAGTCATGGGATTTCATAAAACCACTAGACACTGGTGTTTGGGCAGATTCTTTGTAGGAATTTGAACAGTCATTCAGAAAGAAGTGATTTTGTATAAAGTAATTAGAGTGAACGATGTGACCCTGGCTTGCTTGGAAGCAAAGGTCACTTAGTTGCTGTGAAAAGGTGCCCAGAGAATGAGATGTTCTGTGTCAACTAGATCAGGAGTCTAGTTCAGAAAACCTAGGAGGCCAGCACTGTGAAGGACAGGCCACACCCAGGAAGGGAGAAGGCCACTACAGCAGCTCAGGACTGTCCCATCCGTTTAATCTACAAAGGAACAAGTAAAGGTTTATTCCATGCTGAAAAGAGAAGAAAAGAAACAAAATGTTTCCCAGCCAAAAGCTGGGAGTGGAGAGGAGGCAGGAACAGGAGAGAAGTGTGAAGTTGAGAGAGGTGAAGAGAGGTCTTGCATTTCTTTTGTGCATCAATGCTAATTTTCCATAGTTTTTAGGGTTGTTCAGCTACCTTGTTTTCACAGTGATGTTACAAAAGCGAGCGTCACCTGGCAGGGTGTTGAAGTCATCGATGAGATACATGTGTTCGCTGTCGGGATCAGACGCAATCAGGTTCAGTTCACGTAGGAATTCGGCCTGTGTGGGATCTGTGGTGTTCACGATTCCAATAGCGTACATCTCGATGTTGGCGGCGTGGGCTTCCCTCACTGCTATATCTAGTTTAACGGGCTCTCTCTTGTCTGTTTGTCCGTCTGTCATCACAATGGCCACTTTCCGCACCCCTGTCCTGGCACTGTAAAAAGCTTCCTGGGTAGCTTTGCGAATTGCTGTGCCCGTGTATGTGCCTTCTCCCATGTAGGGCATTTTCCTGATTGCCTGCTTGATATCCTGTTTCGTCATATACCTGGCGAGGTTGAATTCTAAGTGGACGTCCAGACTGTAGAGCACAAGTCCTATCCTGGTAGCATTTCTGCCCACAGTGATCCTGTCAACAAGGGCTGTGACAAAATCTTTGATAATTTCAAAGTTGTCCGGTCCAACACTTTCTGAACTGTCAATAACGAACACAAGTTCCATGGGTCTTTCTTTGCATTTCACCCCACAACCTATACAAAAATTGGAGAAAAAAAACAAGAATTGATTATGTAATAAAACCTTGTTGTGTTGCACGAAATGTATGTGTTAGCTGTGTACTTTAGTCTTCAGGAGATACTGAGAATTGAATTTCACTTATTTTTTATTTTTAAAGGTTCATATGTTTTTACAGAGATAATTTTATAAGTATTAACTGTGTCATTATCTGGACCGGACAACTCTTAAGGAACTCTAGCATGTCAAGTGGTGTAGATTTCACATGCTGGTAGTGATGTCAACTAGATTTCACATGATGGTAGTGTAGTCAAAGGGCTTGTCTATTTCATAGGTTTTGAAGAACAAAAAACGAAGAATGGGGAAACATACCCTGTTGTTCTTATTGAAATGAAAAACCATTTTATTATATATATATATTGCTCTTTACGATGTCTTATATATTGTAAAGTAAATTAAAAAATAAAGTATTTTATCAATTGAAGAAGATAAGATCTTACCACATATCTCCTTAATCAATTTAATAATGTCTTCTCTCTGAAAAAAAAAAACATAATTAGTGTGTATTTGATTCTTATATTTATACTGACATTAATTTAAAGCCATAGAATGGAAACTCACTGTGAGGCCAGCTTCGCCTTTAATTCCTGGTCTTCCCTGAAACAACATTCACAGAGTTACAGATAACAGATACATTTTATTTTGCCTTACACCTGAAGAAGGCTCAATTGCCAAAATGTTACCTTTCTTCTAATTTTCAGCTTGGAATAAATTTTCTTCATTTTTTATTTTTTCCTTTAGAAATAAATTTTGCCAACCACATTTTCCCTACAGTTTTTTCCTGCTTGATATTGCAATAATTATGTCTGTCCACCAGGTGGTAAAAGGAGCAAAACAATTAAACATTTTTTTTAATGTTGGAGATCTCCGATGAGCCCTATAATGGAGGGTTCGTTGGTATTACAAGTGTTCAGGCCTGTTCCTGCTATCTAATTCAACTCCCATTTTAATAGTTCAACGCTTACAGATTGACCAGGAGTTCCAGGATCCCCAAAGTCTCCCTTCTCCCCTTTTCGCCCTCTCTCTCCCTGTGAACCACGATCACCCTGCAAGGGAATAAGAACAAAGCCTGGTGTTAAAACACAAGAAGACATAGGATAACCTGTGAAATGAAAATGGGAGTGAGAGGGGCTTTAATTCTGATGAAACAAAAGAAAAGAAGGTGTATTACATGCTGGCTGAAAGAATGTGTCTGAAACATCATTCAGGCCTAATGTTGAGTTTAATTCTAGCCTGTCTTTTATTTTAGGGGTCCAGTAAGTACACTGACTGTCCAGTTCATAGAGCTGCCAACATTACTCAACAAGGGCAACATTAAATCAAAGAATACCTGCTTTCTTGGGCAGCTCAAACAGCACTTTCACATTTATCACTTCAGAATGAATACATGTATGAAGAAACACTCACAGAAGCAGCTCAGTCATTGAAAAACACAAAGAGGTGACCACACAGACCTTGGAACCTGCTAATCCTTCTCCTGGTGGACCTCTTGGGCCAGTCACTCCCTGAGGTCCATGTTCTCCCTGAAAGGTGTTCAATGACAAATTTCGACATGAGATTAGCTTTGCCTCTCCTGACAAAATTGTACTTCTCTGTCCTGCATCTGCTAGAGGCTGATTGAGGGGTGTCATTCTTCACTCACACAATGAAAATATGTCAGCTCATCAGCACATAGTTGGACAGAAGAAACAAGGAAACTGAAAGGAGGCTGGACTGACATACCTTAGGTCCCTGCAGACCTTCCCCTTGAGGGCCAGGGGGACCAGGGGGGCCAGGTCTTCCAATAACACCCTGAAGAGCATGACAAGGAGGAGTGTTAATACACAGGGCCACACTGTCGCCATAACACCTGCGTATGAAAGAACAACAGCTGCACAGGTAAAGGCAGCTGTCATGGTTTCAATTTAAACTACAAACTACTGCCTCCTTGAGTTCAGGGACTCTTCTGCAGTCAATGAGCAATCCTGGTGTAAGATGTTTTTATTGAAGCAATGCAGTAGTCTCTTGTAGTATACAACAGAGTCCATCATAATGTATTCTTAGTTCATGGACAGGTGGGAAGCTGTTAAATGGACAAGCATGTGGGGGAGGGGGGGTCAATTTTATCAGCAGCCGCTAATAAAAAAAGACGGATCTCAATCTGGCAGTCCACAGATTTAATGTGACAACCTGCTAGCAATAGGCTTATGATGACCTGTTAGTTGTGAAAAGGTTTGAACTGGCTTAAAACAATCAGCGTATTCAAATGTGTCTGGTCTGGTCTCAGAGAGATCTGCACACAACAGTTGACTTCACAATTTTGTAGAATTCAGTAGAACAGAGGACAGAGGTTCTCATTAATGAAGTTATGGAAATTATTATTAAAACATCAGCAGTAATGAAGACATCCATTATATTAAAATTCTTTTCTCTTTATCTCGAGTAGCAGACAGAATAAAAATGTATAGTCCTTCAAAGGTCAGCCATTATTAGGATGCATACAGTCTGCAGAGCGTTAGCTCAGTCTGATGTATGATAGTGCCTGAACTGTGCAGTCTTGGTCTGTATGCAGATCCTACACAGCAAGGATACCAATCATGCCACTGTCTTATTATGGGACACTCCACTGATTCAGTCTCTTTATAGGCCTACCTTGGGTCCCGGCAGCCCTTCCCCTGAGGGTCCTGGTAAACCTGGCAGCCCCCTGAATCCAATATCACCCTGGAAAGAGCAAAACACATCAAGTATCAATACAAAGATTAATTTCCTCTTGTCATTCCTCTACCAACACAGCAACATAGATCTTTCCTGAAGTAAAGGAGTTTCTAAAGGGTTATGTGGAAATGCTTCAGGAAAGTAATTGGATGGGGGGTATGTATGCTTCTGTATGTTAAGAAATGTCCCATGGATCTCTGGAATCATTTGTCCCTGGTCAGCTGGTAAGGGTAGAGCACTTTTTCTAAATAATAAGCAATAATAAGGGAAATAATAGGCAGATTACAAAAGTTACAGCAGTGCGGCGTGAGCAGCATAACTAATTTGTCCAATAACAGGGTACTAGGTGATGACATCCTTCAGGTGTGGCACAACGTTAACGCAAACTGCAGTGGAACTGTTGGTGGTATGCTATGATTTTCTAACACTTTGTCAAAAGTATCATCACACCTCAGCATGGAAGTTTAATAATAAGTCTACCTCTGAAACATGAAAATTCCAGTCTCATACATACCATACATTACAGAAAAAGGAAATACGGACAGGTGTCATGTAAAACTGAGCTCTGAAGGAAAAAGTGGTCTAAAAATGTGTAGGGAGTTAAAATTGAATATTTTTGACCCACGACTCTACCTTCGGTCCTGGTAGTCCTATTCCCTCTGGTCCTGGCTCCCCAGGAAGGCCTGGAAGACCTGGCTGGCCCTGAAAAGATGAGGATTTGAGTAGAGCCTGCTCTCGAGAGAAATGGCTATGGCCTTTTCAATGCCTCGGGAAGGCCTCACACGCTGCTAAGAAACTGTTGGAAGTGGTGTACTCACAGGAGGACCAGGGTATCCATCTCCTTTGGGCCCAAACGGACCTGGTGGACCATGGTTACCACGATCCCCCTAGAAGAAAAAATCAGTTCAAGTCATTGGATGGAAAAAGTGAAGGTATAACATGTTCTGTTTTGTATTTGTTTTCTATCCATCCATCCATTTTCTAACGACACCATCCAATTCAGGAGGAGCCAGAGCCTATCCCATTAAGGAAACAGGCACAAAGCGGGGTACAACCTGAACAGGACACCGGTTCATCAAAGGGCACACACAGACACAATCATACTCACACTAGGTGTGATTATCCAAGAAGCCAGTTAACCAGTATGTCTTTGGACAGGAAACCAGAGCTCCCAGCACTGGAGCACCCGGAGGAAACCCACGCAAACACGAGGAGACCATGCAAGCTCTACACAGATAACACCCCACAAGTCTGAAATTGAACTGTGTCGCCCATGTGTTTGCTATTGTTTTTGCAATTCGTACCTTGGGACCAGGAAGTCCATAGCCAGTCTCCCCTATAGGTCCTTGTGGGCCTGGTGGGCCGATTTCCCCCTGAGAAGCACAGTGAAATTGTGACCAGACAGTGACCATTGAGTCCAAGAGGGTTCAATTGTGAATCGCAGGTACACTATGAGTACACTCCGAAAATTACACAGATGATAGAAGATACACAGTATGTTGTATTCAGCCTCGCTAAAAAGTGAACATATTAATCTCAAATATGACCGTTTTGTATGGTGAAGTCATAGTTCACCTCATAACACTGGAAAAAATGAAAAAAAATGGGAGAAGAGCATCACAGTCTTATTTTCTGCAGGTATTCACTCTAAGTTGTAGAATTTCGTTTTTTTTCTGCACAATCAGGGCACACGGTTGAAAATGGCAGTGCTGCCCTGGGCTTTCGCCAGTGAAGATGTTTTACCTTTGGACCAGTTATTGGTCGTCCTGGCAACCCTGGCATTCCCAGACGACCTGGAGTTCCTGGCTCCCCCTGGCAGAAGGTAAAACATAAAACAGACGCTGACAGCCTTCAAAACAGTAACCTCAGGCAATGGTAATGCCAACCTGGAATATCCCACTGTTGAGAAAACCTGCGGATTCTGCCTTTTGTATTTGTGGTAATCATACAAGCTTCAAAACAGACGTAGCTAATATGTACAGCCTTAAAATATATAATCCTAGAGCTATATTTTCCTTCCTTTTCCACAAGTAGCAGGACAAAATCAAAGTTAGAAAGTTCCACTTGATAAAGAGTTAGTAATATATTAATAATCAATTATTCATATGTAATTATAATAATCAATAATATATACTAATAAATAGTATATCCACGTTTCAGTTCTAATTGTACAAAACTGCAAAAAACCTCTCAAGTCATGATAGCCTAATCAGGACCTGTCTTGTCAGGAAGGAATTGAGAAAACCAATGTCTAAGCAATCTCACCGATGCAGGTCTAGAAGTCTGACACTCCCATGTTGTACAACACATGGTTAATTCATATACTTGGAAAATATTACTAATGATAATAGCACCTGGGTGATTGGAGTGTAAAGTGCAGCAGATGCATAAGTGGCATGCCCTAACTCAAATATTTAGTGGGAAGAGATTCATTTTACCTACCAAATGAAACAGGCCAAAATGTTTCTGAAACATTTCAATAATATGTTTCAAATACATTTCAATAATATATGTGTCTGAGCATTCAGTAAGGGAAGAAAATAATTCAAGTCAGTTTTCACCTTACATTTTACATTGTATTGTTCGCTTAGTTGTAGTGCTCTTTCAAAATTCCTCTGCTTGACTTATATTGGATTAATGCAGCTCAATGCAGCTGCAGTAAAATGACAAGCAAGAGTCAGCCTGCAGGTCTCACCTTTGCCCCGGAAGGACCAGCAATTCCTGGAGGCCCAGGTAAACCTCTGATTCCTCTTTGACCCTGATCTCCCTGGAGCAGAATTCAAAGACATGTGGTCAGCACAGCCATTTGTTTGAACCAGTGCAACATTACTGCAAGAGACTTAGGGATGTTTCTTAAAATACCTTCTCACCCTGGGTTCCAATTCCCGGTGTCCCCTCTGGTCCTCTCAAGCCTATCAAACCAGGCTCACCCTGCAAGCAACCACAGAGAGATATAGAGGCTCTTTTGTGGAAACCCAGACCATCAGGCAGTTCACCTGCCCTTGTGTGGGAACTTCACCTTTGGACACTAAACAGCACAGTGAGAAAAGCTCGAAGTGTTCATCCACCTATTTGTACATCTGAATTATTTAACCCTGTGTATCTCTGCCTTGCTAATCAAATATAAATTTTGTTTAAGTTTTTTAAAATGTTACTACAGTTCACTGCAAAAAGAGGAAATTATAAAATAATTAAATAGTCTGTTCAGCTGAGAAAATGTCCCCATTATTAAGACATTTCTTTTGTTTGCTTTGTTTTTCTATACAATTTACAATGAAATGTATAAAAAAGCTGGTATTATTGCTTTTAATGTACTATACACTGTAAACAAAGATTTTTCATATATTGTAAAAAAGGCTACTTCTTCTGTTTGCACATGATTAACACTGTCTACGTCTCCCACAAAGTACAGTAGTGGTTTAACATTGTCTGTGCATCCTTCTAATGAAGCACAAACTCAGTCTTGAGCATGTGCGTGCTGGTTGTACTGAACATAGGGATGTCAGAAGAGCTCCAAATGAGAGGAGGTTACTCAGCACAACCTACTTGTTAGTTGTAAGTCTGGAGTCAATCACAATATGAAGGTGACACATACAGCATTGATTCGCCCATGGAAAGCAAACTGCCTTAGTCCTGCCTTGCTCTCCCGACGATGCCCACCCCAGTGCGAAATACCTTCTGTCCTGGGGCACCATCCTCTCCTGGCAGGCCTGGCAAACCAGCCAATCCTGAAGATCCTGGCTCACCCTGAGGAGGAGTTAGTTGTAAAATCAGCTTGGCTTTTAACTGAGAATCACGTGTGCTACTGGATGGCTTCTATCAATCTTATATTTCCTTCCTTGAGTAACTTTCCTTTAATGTTGCTTTTTCACTTGTACTTAGCAAATAATAAAACACCTGACACAAAAGTTTATTTTTCTGTTTCTAATAAAAATTATTAGAAACTGACTTTTGCTCAAAATGTTGATACGTAGTTCTGATTTTACTTCCTCATGTCTGCTATGGTAACAACACTGCACATAAGGTGTAATTCATCTTCCATGACTATGATCCTCCATGTATAAGGTGTGACCCCTTCAGACCGGCTTTAAAATTGCAATTCAGTTTCACAAGAGCTGGAGAGCTAGAGTTGTACATTATGAATTGGATATCTGTAACTGAGGATTAGCCTGTAAAAGATAATAAGCATGTTTTGTTATCCGCTGTGCAGTACAAACAGAGTTTGATTTGGTATAATCTTGACACTTTGGTTAACAGAACCATTGCCTTGCATGGGTGGTAGGAACTACTGAACATAAAAAGAAGGAAGATTGATTCTTCTGGGGTTTAACCTAACATGAAACATCACAAATGTTTTTCAAATGCCACTGGAGTCACGGTACGTCCTCTTGATTGCTCCTATACTCTAGGTTTGCTTCACTTCTTTTTTGCTGTTCCTTTTGCTTTGTTTAAAATCAACGGACACTGTGGTTCTCCTGCAGGTTTACCTTGGGTCCTGGCTCCCCAATTCCCCTTTCTCCCGGTGCCCCAAGTTCACCTGGCAAACCTTGGTCACCCTAAAAAAGAAATGGTGACCAAAACAAAAAAGAAACAGCGATAGGTTAATGACCTTCAGAGAAATGCATAAAATAACCTGAATTCAGTTATTTATAGTGTTCAGTTGTGTTCTGAAATCAATGCTGTGATGTGTTTGGAAGCAATGGGCAGGTTTTTGCGATTTAGTTGGTCTCTGCAGCATTTTTCCATCACATGTGTACCGAGACAGGTGTATTTGTGACCGTAACCCTGAATACGTGCTGCCCAAACATAAAACTACAAGGTGGAGCCCCTGACCTGAGGTCTCTCTTATTGGAACTGCTTAACTTGTAGGTACAAAGTACAAACCTTGGGTCCTGGAAAACCCTCCCCTGGTTGCCCCCTGGAGCCAGGTGGTCCGCGTGGCCCCTCCACACCCTGCAATTACACCAGTGGAGGTTACATACACAAGGGGGGCCCGAGTCCGGCTTGTCAGTCAGTGTGACTAGAGAGGGGTGAAGCCCATCATCTTACCTTCTCGCCCTGAATTCCCACTCCTGGTAACCCCACTAGGCCTGGGGGCCCAAGAGGCCCCAGCTCACCCTTGAAGACACAGGGAACAGGGGTCAGAAGTCAGAGTAAAGCCTGTGATGTAGGTGTCCCAGCAAATTAAGTGCATTTTGTAACCTGCTTCATCACCTTTAGGCTGTAATAAAGATGCTACCAATAGAAACTATGTGAACAATAAAATCCCCACAAAAAGCAAACCAAGTTTCAACCCCAGTTCTAAATTTTGCATTCTGAATTGTACAGTAATGACAGGCTAAATTTCAGTGTTGAAAACGGGTTTTTCATCTTTTTTCGTTTCTTATCTTTCTTATCTTTGTTACTAGGAGTTCAATTTTAGTGTTTGAGATGAAAAGAAACTCAGCCATATCTTAAAAGATGAGGCGTAGTGGCCAAAAACAGCGTTCACTTCATTTTCTCAGTTAATACAGATTTTAACTCTACATATCTGTAAGCAGGAAAAAAAACTTTTAAATGGGGCAACAAAAGACACAGCCTTGGGGGAAAGAGGTGAGACCACAAGGGAAGGCACTGTTATAATACTGCAGGACTGGGATTTGGCCTGAATAATCCAAAAAAAACAAGATACAAGAAAACAGGAGACATCATCTTCGATATTTAAAAACAACACTTTCAAAATTGCCTAGCTCAGGGCAACAGAAAGGGTTAACAGGCAAGTGCTAGATTTTTGCACCACGCATCCGAAAATACAAAGACATTTTTGGAAAGTCATCACTCAGCGTGTTTTTGAAGCCGTCGTCCTCCAGGGAACACAAGACCTTTTTGTTATCTGCCGCAGGTACTGCATATTTCATATATACCCTCGCTCACGAAGTCTGCGCTTTCTCACGCTGTCAAGATCTTTCAGCAGACCCCCCAGCTGCCTCAGCAGATGCCAGACCACCCCAGCTCTTAGGAGACAATTGTTCGGAAAAGGGCTTTCGTTTTTCCCGTCACATCCTTTGTCACAGAGATGAGAAGCATGTCTGCTCCCATTGCAGAGAATGGCATTCATCGGTTGAATATTTACAGCCTACCTTTTCACCTTTGATCCCTGCGCCTGGGGGTCCACGAGACCCTCTCGGCCCCTCCAGCCCCCGGTCTCCCTGCAACGCAATGAGGATGTTCTCATCTCATTCAACTCCACACATCTGCGAGCGCAAATTAGGAACAGCACCTTGAACCTTTAGGGTGATGGGAGCAATACTCATGGGGCCACCAAGCTAAGATTATACGTGCTTTTTCCTAAAAACCACAAAACTCTTTCTAGACTGCGAACTGAATTCTTGCACACATTCTTTGTTTTTCTTTTCCTGTGAAATTCTTTTAATATGAAGGAGGAATTTAAAATTGTGGGTTGGAATATCTGTATGCTTCCCCTTCTGAAGTGGGAATTTCTTTTCAGCTTTTGTACTGGTTCGGAACATCCACAGGCTGTGCTATAGGGCGCATTAACTCTTAATGATTAAAAAAAAGATTGAGGAAAAGCAGGACATTATGTAGCAAAATGTATTGCTTGTTAAAATAAATAGAATACCGGTTTAACAGACTTGCAGCTCAGAATTAAAATCATCAGTTTGCATCCCATCGGTAAAAGTTATACTTGCAAGAAGAGTGTACACAAGGTGTTGCTTTTGCCTGTAACTCTCTTTGCTGTTACAAAATGTTCAGAGCAGGTCTTTGATGCTTTCTAAAGGAAAAGTACTGAATTTTTAAACATGGCTTGTTTCCCTGGCAACAATGAACAGGAGCTGTATGTGTCTCAGCAGTAGATCATGACCAGTACATGACTTAACTTAAGTTTCCTGGCATATTGTACCATCCAGTCTCTCTGCAGTTGTAAACCCATAGTTTCCGTAATCCATATTATTTTTTAGGTATTGTATCCATTTTCTTTTTTCAGTGTTTTCTATGTTTTGTTTAATTGAAAAAAAAATGTTTTAAGAAATGCTCTGCATAAAACAGGGAAAATGTAGCCATGGGTTCAATCAAAATTAAAAGCAGAAAAGAAATTTAGTGTGTTTTCCACTGTAAGATAAATGCCCAAGACGTAGACGCATTAAATCCTGCCAAATGAAGTTTTCAAAAGACTGAATTTTTTACAGCTGCTCTGTTGCTGCAGGACACAGCACATCTCAGAACAAACTTATTTTCTAGCAAGGGACTTGTGCCAAGTATATATAGCTCAAGGTTACGTTAGAAATAACCCTGCACATGGGACAAAGCTGCTACAGTTCTCCTTATTTAATATGTGGTCAAGTTCTGACTTGAACCCAAAAAGAAAAAGAGGAAAAAATAAATTGTTACTCTTTGGCTTTGAAACTTTCTTTTTTATAGACTGTTGCATAGACTGCCCTTTATTTTTATCAAAGGGGTCAAGGGGAATTTATCAAGGGAAAAAATATTGGCACACACAGTAAATCAATGTTCTTCCTTTAACATGTGGCATTTTGAATAGTGTGTTCATGTTCAGAAAATGCTGTGTTATCAATTAAAAACTTTTTTTTCTTTACCGTGAAAAGGGTAATGTACTTTTCAAGGCTGAAAAGTATTCTCCATTATTGTGCACTAAAACAGGTGTTTAAATACAGTTTGTAAAACGTGCAAAATCCTGGCTCACAGACAGACAGCTTGTAACAGCTTGTCACACACTATTAATGAATAATCTCAACAGTACACGCATGTCTGAGAGATGCTCCGATATAGAAGAAAATTAAGGGGTTGTGATAATTTATAGAGACAAAAGTACACATTGTCACGAGCAGTAAAGGTGAAACAGTGGAAAAAGCAAATCACATTTTGGTGTGATCTCCTCCAGGCTGAGATGCATTTTCTAGTTATTAATTCGCTGATGACAGAAGTTTTGAAAAAAAAATTATATTGATTATATCAATCATTATCTATTCATCTTTTTTTTAACCACTTCTTCCAATTCATGATCACAGGGGAGACAGAGCCTATCCAGGCAAGCAATGGATACACTCAGGATACAGGATACACTCTGAACAGTATGCCAGTCCATCACAGGGCAGGCACACAGACACGCACACACCAGGGCCATTTTTCCCACCAGTTTATCTTTGGACTGAGGGAGGAAACCAGAGCACGTAGACGAAACCCACAGAAACTTGTACAAACTCTAAGCAGATGGCAGGTCTCAATTTGAATCCAGGGCTCCAGAGCAGCAAGGCAGCAGTGCTAACCACTGACCCACTGTGACACCCATTAAATGACGGAAATCACAGAAATTGAAAAACATAATGTAATAGACATAACCCAAATATTCACCAAAAGCTCACAGAGCAGGCAAGGGGAACTGGTTGGGTCAGTTCAGTCCCTTGAGGAAACATTTTAGTTGCTAACTTCCAGTTTTGCTCTGAGAGGCTCTAATGCCTATACAGTACAAAAACACACACAAATCTTTTCACCCACAATTGCTATTTGTGTTAACGTGTGGATAGTAAATATGGTAGAAGATAAATATTTAATTAAAGTTAGGTTTATTGTATAAGTATATAACACCTATATAATTTATATAAATTGCAGACAAGTTTTTGCCAAGACGATTTGGAAGGCCTTTTCAGTACTATGGTGGATTCCAGTGACAGTATTGTTGGTGATTCATATCTCATATGACAACATTAGCTTGAAGAAACATGAAAGTACTGTGGCACGGACTGGAAGGGGTGATGTGTACATGTACCATAAGAATGGTTCTCCAGTATAAACTTAGTTTAAGGGTATAAACTAAGTACCAGAGAAGCCAAGCTATTTGGTGCTGCTTAACAATGACCTATGCATTTCTGTACCTTGTCCTACTGGTACATGAGTGGGTTGAAATCCAGCCATACTATCGGCCAGTGCATTACAGTGATCTCCATAATGAAGTGGATAGTCTACCTTTTTCAATTGGGAATGGGCATTTACAGTGTTGACAGAGTAAGGTAGTGTTGACATATTGACATTGATGTTAGTGTTGTAATTAATGACCAAATCAATTCAGATTTCAAAACCACATCAATGCAATGGACAGTGAGATTGCCATTGACAACAAGAACCAAAACATTATTAACTTGTATGGACTTTTTTAGTTTCTCACATAAGCTTTTGATCTACAGCTGTTAATTGAGAGGCAGAAGTGGAATTCACACAAAAATGTCAACCTTTGACAATATCTTGTGCTTTTATCCTATCTTTGAATTGTATAGACTGCAGTTCTGTAGCTAAATTATATTGAACAGTTATATTATCATCGTAGGTGTGTCTGTGCTAGATATTAGCAACAAGACAGAGCCTGCAGGCAGCTAGTAGTGTTGGTAAAATCCTTTGATGGAAGGTGAATGAACTTCGAGAGGCCATGTTGCAATACACCTGCCTGCCACATAAGATGCTGAATTCCCAGTCTCTTTCAGTCCATTTTTAACGACAGCTGAAGCTGAGTTAATACTTTCCTGAATGAGAAGCAAAACACTTTCTATGAATGCATGGTTACATAATACATAATGGAAGAGTCTGTCCACTCAGCCATAGGTGTGATTAGATGGGTTATCGTAAATCTGCCGGAAAACCACTTTCAAATATGGCATCTTCAAGAGAAATGCAACAAGAAAAACGATTGTAGACATACTGAAACACATTGACATACCTTGGGTCCAGGAAAACCTTCTCCTATAGGTCCTTTCTCTCCCTGAACACCCTGTGGCCCCTGAGGCCCCTGCAAACATACACAGGAAAAATGCCAGTATAAATGAGAAAAAACAGGGAGACAAGTAAGGAAGAGGCACAGGACCGCATGTGTCACTAATACTAAGGAGAGATTGGCAAACCATTTGCGGCCCAGTGCCATTAGCATCAGATAATGCCCCCCATCAATCTGAATGAGCTTCAGCCCCCGTATAAAACCTGAACACAGAGATTCATTAATGATGATAATAATAATAATAATAATAATAATAATAATAATAATAATAATAATTGCTTACACTTATATAGTGCTTTTCTGGACACTCCACTCAAAGCGCTTTACAGATAATGGGGACTCCCCTCCACTACCAACCAATGTGCAGCATCCACCTGGATGATGCGACGGCAGCCATAGTGCGCCAGAACTAAGCAACCATTTATTGCAGGTCCTACAGCAAATTCAGCAAAATGTCTGACATCATTAGGAAGCTGCTGCTTCTACTTACAGGTAGTCCTGGTTCCCCAATACCAGGTGGTCCGGACGGCCCTGGTCTTCCTTGAAAGCCCATATCACCCTAGGTTACGAGAAATTGACATGCAAAGTGAGATAATGTTGTGTAAAAGTCCTGGTTTAAGGAAACAAACCACAACAAATGGAGGCTGCCACACCACATACTGTACAAGGTATTTACCACAATAAATGAACCTGCAAGGGAAGTAATTCTTACAAAAACTGTTATTAATTCTGACAATATAACCAGTGCATCACATAATGCAGTATTTAAGTGGAATTTCTTTCTGTGTGCATTAGTGTTGGTTGTTATCAGAGTCTCCCACAAGCCTGCTGTCCTGATACTCCTTGAAAACATAATTTATATAGCAGTCAGTCACGTCCAGGCCAAAGCATGTAAAACCACAGAAGTATACAGCACTTTAAAGAAAAGCAGGTGTGTGTCCTGGGCGGAAAATCTGACCTGCTCCACTTGGAAGGTAAAAAAATTAATGGGAGATGTTTCAAATTCAGTGAATCCCTGGAATCCGTCAAGCTGAACATTTCTTTACAATAGTTAGAGTCACCCAGATGTACTGTATGTGGGTATATTGTTACAATATGGATAAAAATACAGGTTTCGACAATAAAACATGAACCAGAGGACACAACTGAACTGAGTAATGTTTAAAACGTGTACTACTAGGCATTTTTCTACACAAACCGGTTTGGAAGTCTGGAAGAAGCTATCCAGGATTCTTTCATTAAATGGCCGGATAAGATGCATGGATCATTTAGCTACTAACAAGAAAATGAACTTGGTGGGTCAAATGCTCTAGGCAAAGATACTAATTGTACTTCAGACCTGTGATTTACCACCATCGGGGTAAATCTATTTATTGTATTTCTGAAGACTATGTTCCACCTTCCAGTGAGGAACATGCTAGCTTCATTCATTAGATGATGTCTTTTCTGTACCTCCTTGATAAATGGACTTTCAAGTTCATTTCATGGTATGCAATTTGTAATATGCATGTCTCAACTATTTGAGTGTGGGATGATGACCTTTACGTGATACTCCTGCTCCTGGTGAACTGTACTGAAAAACCGAATATCCACTAATGCAACAAAAACCATTAGCCACCAGCTGGGCGTTCTCTCAGTGACCCCCTGGAACAGAAAACCTAAATTGTTTTATTGTCTTCATTGGATACCAAGAAGAGTGCTCAATTGCTGATGACTAGGCAGTAGAAATTGCAAAGATGTTGGTAACTCCTGTCAAGGCCAGATGTTGTTGCATAGTGTATGAGGAGTAGACTGTTTACAGTACCTTTGGTCCAGGAAGCCCAATTCCAGTTTCCCCTTGAATCCCAGGAGGCCCAGCAGGTCCGCGTTCCCCCTGCAGAACACACCCATGTGGCATCACTGTACAATCACAGTACAACCACAGAAAGAGCACTGGGCCACTGCCTGTTTCTATTCAGCCTTGGAGCTACAGTATGTGGGTGTTTTCATAAGCCACAGTACCCAATCAGTCAGTTTTATTATGAAACCTTTTCAATCATAGTAGTTAAAGGACACTCTTTCACTCCCTACAGCCCATTAATATCTAGACTCAGATTACTGACAAATTAAAAACTTCCATTATGTCAGACATGAATTTCAGTCGCCCACAGGAGATCGTATAAAAGAGCAAAACCATTAAATGCTACAGACATGCTTATTTTTGTTTCAATAATTCAATAATCCAGTAATACCTGTACAGAAAATGTTTTTACTTTTTGGAACTTTTGTAGGCCTCTTAGAAAAGAAGAATGCTGAAATAATGAAAATTTACAAGCTATTGTTGTTAATGTCTGGGAAAATCTCTCTCTCTTTTTTTTTTTGCTCCAGGCCTTTGCTGGTTTACTTTCAGTAACCTGAGCTGTTGAATTTGAGGAGTGTTTCTAGAGACCGAACACAGGTATTTTCATTTACGTACACTACTGATAATGGATGATATACACTGCTTTGGGCTGTAGCCAAGCAATTCACAAAACATAAAGCTGACTGTCAGTACTTTCTGACTTTGTCTGGGAATAGTTTTCAGATGCCCTCCACACTTTCATTTTCAGACATAGTTTTAGATACCAAAATGGAGTCTACTTTTCAGTGTTTGTCTTTCAGATATGAGAGATTATTGTGGTATCCAGCAAATTTTTGGTACTTTTGAAATAATAAAATGGAAAATAAAAGACACTCACTTTCTTTCCCTGTGGTCCCTCTGTCCCAATGTCTCCCTGAGACCCTGGCAGACCCTGTCAAAGAAATCAAAATCAATCAGTTTATTATGGAGTAAAATGGAATATGTGAGTAAAAAGAATCATAACACTGGTGTTTCCATCAATGTTTTTATTCTGACACATTCATTAACATTAAGAAGATATGGTGTTTAGGGGAGTTAGTGCATTTTAAATATGACCACTGCTTGTAAATGTCAGTGATTTGTCTTTATCCCTTACCTGGAGACCTCTCGCTCCTCTGATACCAGATGGACCTTCAGGACCCTGTCAGTAGTAGATGATTGATTAATTACAGTGATGTCAATGACACATTTAAAATGCACCAGCTGTGGCCAATAGGGAGACCACCAGGGAGAAGCCAGAAGCTTCTACACAAACCAGTCCGCTATAAATTTGGCCCTGTGCATTAGATCATTGTCCTGCGGAAAGATTTCTTTCTGGTTTCAAGTCTTTAGCAGACCGAAACACATTTTTTTCTTGTATTGGCCTGTTCTTTTTCCCTATGAGCTTATGTGCTGTACTGATTTTGCATCAGATGGACTTTGGTTAAGTCAATAAAAGGAAACTACAATAAAATTAACAGAACAGGAATGTGACTCCACAGACAATCATAGATGTGTCCAACAATGTGATGAAGGAGATGGGCAGTTTTGCTATAACCCCAGCTTCTATCCCAGGCCCTGCTGATCTTGTGTACTTGCTTCACATGACAGGCTAATCCTGTAGTGTTGCACTGACTAAATTGTGAATGAGCTGTGTTCGGACTATTTTTGGGAACACTTGAAAACTGCTGTTACAGATACGCAGTATTGCATGGAAGATGCATATGTTATAGTTAAGTGTTCCAGTCAAAGTGCTTTACAACAGATTCCCCTCTACCACAACCACCAATGAGCAGCCCCCACCTGGATGATGTGACGTTAGCCATAGCGCATACATTAGGCTCCGCACACACCAGCTATCAGTGGAGTGGAGAGCAGAGTAGATGGGGATTATGAGGGGGCCATGGTTGGTAAAGGCCAATGGGAAATTTTGCCAGGATGCAGGGTTAACACCCCTGAAACGCTCTGGGATTTTTAATGATCTCAGAGTCAGGACCTCGGTTTTAAGTTTCATCTGAAGGACAGCGCCTTTTTACATTATAGTGTTCCTGTCACTATACTGGGGCATTAGGACCCACACAGACTGCAGGGTGAGCGCCCCCTGCTGGCCCACCAACACCACTTCAACTTCTTATAACACTTCAGCAACCTTAGCTTTCCCAGGAGGTCTCCCATCCAGGTACTGACCAGGCTCACACCTGCAGAGCTTCAGTGGGTTGCCAGTTGTGAGTTGCAGGGTTTATATAGCTGCTGGCTAAGAAAAGAGATCTGTTTAGAAAACAGACTGTTTCTGAAAAACTAGCAAAGCTGCAGAACAGTGTAGGTGTTTACTACTTGCCCATGTTTGAATATATTCTGTATATGCAGATATAGCCATTTGCAGTTTTGTCAACAAAAAACAGAACAGTTTCCTTATTTCTGTAATGCAAAATAATCAAGTGTTTTTTATAGAATTAATATACTGTACAGTGAAATACTCACTCTGTCTCCTTTAATTCCAGGGGTTCCACATTCTCCTCTTTCACCCTTCACAAAAATCACAAATATCATTATAAAATGGTACGGGCCTCAAGAGTCCTCAGAAAAACATTACAAGTGCATTTAACTTTCACTGTGCAAGACAACCCCTTAAAAATGACAAATCACACAAGAAACAGAAAAATAAGCATAAATTACAGTGGCATTTCAAAAAGGGTTCTGCACCCTATTGTAAATATAATTGGTTTATTAGAAAAGAATGGACCTAAAAATTCCCAGTTTCACACGATAGGGATCTATCCATCCATTATCAGAAATTTGCTTAGCCATTGTAAGGGTCGTGCAAGCTCAAACCTACTCATGAAGCATAGGTTTTAAGGTGGGACTACCAACAGGGTGAGTCCCCTGGCCACCACAGGACACATACAGCAGATCTGCATGATGTAGAGACACCAATTGTCAGAGATGGCATTAGGAACACCAGGTTGGACCCTATGCGGCCCTGAGACTGAAGGTGATTGGAACCAATTAGCATTCAAATCCCAAAAGCAAAAGGCAAAAGACGAAGCTGAAACAAGAGAACTAGGTCGGGTAGCCAAAAGAGTCAGGTCGAGTGAATCCAAATCCGAGACGAGAAGCGAGGCGAAGTTGAAGCAGGTGGAAACTAGGTCGAGTAGCCAAAAATCAGGTCCAGAGTCGTAGCGCGCACCAGAGAAAGCCAAGGGTAATTCTCAATAGTGAGCGAGGACTGAGAGGACTGAGAGGGTATAAACAGGGAAGAGCGTGAGGAATGAAGTTGATTAATTAGTGCGCGGGTGTTGGTGGTGAGAGGTGCTCGGAAATATGCGGTTCGTGACACCAATCAGCCGAGCCTGCGTGTCTTTGAAAAGATGAAAGGAACCACCAGATGGGGTTCCCATGTGGAGACAACGGGAACATGTAAACCCTACACAGAAAGTAGTCCTCACCAGGTGTGAATCAGGACACTAGACCCAGGGGACAGCAGACCTAACCTCCACGCCACCAGACCACCCACACTTAAGAGGTGTCTTAAGCCAAAAATAATAGTTAATAATGGATTTTCCCCTGAGACGCTCAATTGAAAGAAGTTATTATAAAATGGATGGATGTATTTTCTCAGCTGATTTTAATTATGGGAATATACATTTATTATTTAGAGTAACAGCTGAACAATTTACAAAATTTGTAGTTTTTTAAAATACATTTAACACTTTACCTTTTCGCCTTTGTAGCCAGGTTTACCCTACAAGAAAGAGAAATACAAAGCATTTGCTCAAATTGGATCTTTTAGAACACTAAAATAATGACAAATAACCTTCTAATACACAGAAAACACAGCTCTGAAGTTAAGCATTGCGCTGCATGGAACACGATTCCTGTCCGTTTCCACTTGTTTTTCCACACGTTACCTCTGCGCCTTCTCGACCTGGAAGTCCACTCAGTCCACTTTCACCCTAGAATGAAGAACATTACAGATTTAGCAAGTTCTGTTGAAAATAGGAACTTGTAATTAACATATACTGTACGCAGAAGTCAGTATTATTGCAATTGTCCCACTAAACCCTTATTCTTCAATGACCTTGACCTCATTGTCCTGGAAGCAAGCACTTCAGACAATGTTAGTGCAGCAGGTTCTCTAAAAGAGATAAAAATTATCTGAAACATTTTTTGCAGAATAACATACTCACTACATGACACAGGGTGACAGCTGCTTGTGAAAAGAAAATGGAAGCTTTGTTATTTCACAGCGACAGAGATAAGGTAGTTTCACGTTCTCACAGAGGTATATTGAGTAGATGTTTTGCATAGGCAATAAATAATTAGAATGAGTAGAGTTACTGTACCTTATATCCTTTTATACCAGGGGCTCCATCGTCTCCGGGACGACCCTTCTTACCCTGATAAAATGAAAGTACAATTACAATCAAACAGAATGGTGTAATAATAAAGGAACTTTCACTGCTTTGCTTCTCACATATGATGTTTCCCAGCAAAAACTGATAGTGACCTAACAGGAGCTACAGTATATCTTAGAAGACAGAATTCAGTCTTAGAAAGTGAGATGTCAGTGAGCCTGTCTCTCAATAATCCTCCAACATACAACAATATACGTTTGTATGTTAATGTATTATGATGTGTCTGTTTTGTAAGTGTCTGTAAATATCTGTAGATGTTGTGTTAATTGTGTATGCTTTGGCAACACTGATTTATTCATTGGTCATGCTAATAAACCTTCTTGAATTGAATTGATCTGAATTGAATTAATAAATCCTGGATTGCACAGTGAACATAGGCTTCAGAAACAAGGCAGAAATTATAACTGAGGAGACTCCAAAGATAATTTGGTTAAAGAGACCCTGTTTCCTTTCAGGACATCTGGGCAGGTTTTGTTACTGGAATTTAGTGAGACATTTTTAGCAAGCTGTAGAGGATGAGGTCAAGGCTAAGATGGCTGCAGGTTGTGAGATATCCCAGATAGCCCATGTGACACGTCTGCGGTGGATGCATGTTCTAACTGGCCAGAGGGCTACAGGGGTAACTGTACTATTTCTGCACCTGGGCAACGAATCCCCCTGCCCTTGATGGGAAATGACTTTTTTTCTGGTCATTAAACAGATGACAGTGCCCATTATACAAGCTTTTAAATTGCTCCACAAAGTATGCCTGGAATCCTGCTCTAAAATAACACCTGGATTGTGATCATGCTGTTGTATATCATCACACGATGGGCTTACAAACTACAGGTTTAGCAATACTGCTAAAAAAGATCTGGGAAAGCTAATACACAAATCTGAAGAGGTCTTCTTCAAGTGTTTCATTTTTGTCAGTATAGAACAAGCCTGACCTATATTTGATGTTATATTACGAGATTGATGCGGTTTCAGATTTTTTTTAAATGAAAAGCATATGACTTTTTTTTTACATCTAATGTCTTCATTATCCGCACCATTCTATGCAGTGTAGCATCTTTGAATTCAGATCTGAAATGTTTCTACAGCAAAGCAAAGTACAAAGTTATGGTTTCAAACCTTCGAGCACAGGCACCACATGGGACTACAATATTACATTCCTTAAAGATATTCTCAAGACAAACTTCAGGGTCTTTAAATATAGCCAGGTCTTAATGTTTTAATACTGTATGATTTCACTGCCTTTCTGAAGAATTAATTCGAATTACAAACTTAATTACTTAATGGTAGGGAGAGCACTTTATTTTCTAACAGGTTCAAGGGTGTCCTGTAGGTTGCAGTGTGAGGAGGGAATGATGATCCCTTACTGCTCTTTAATGTGTGTAAAGAAATGTCTGCTAATGTACAAAAACAGACATGAGGATAACAGCTGGATAGTTGTACACATGCACATTTATTCCTTTTTAATGACAGGTTACAGCTCTTCATATATCTTTAAGCTTAAATATACTTCAGCCAACTAGGTCTTTTTTTTTCACTGAAATTGCTTACAGGTGGAGAAGGGGCAATATTTTTTGCAAGGGGCTCAAAAGCAGAATAATTACCCTTCTGATAACAGACCTTACCACAGCTTTTAGATGCATCCTATTTGCCTTCTTTCAACAGGAAGAGTTTTAAAACTCTGTTTTTTACTCATGGTTACAGCAGTGCAGAGGATAATAAAAGACATTATTAAATTTACTTACAGGTGGACCGCTGGGACCTCGCTCTCCCTTTTCGCAGACACATTTCTGAGCCAGGGGACACTTTAAAAAGAACAAGATGATAAATTCATGGGCAGCGCAGTAACAGTCTTTTTTTGCCAAGAAATGTATGGTCATTTGCATGGCATTTGCTCTGACAAGCGGTTCTTTCACAAATGTCTCAAATCACACTTGTCTCATAAAGTTCGCCTACTGCAAAATAAGCTTTTTTGAGGAAGGAAGCAAGAAACAGATTTCTGAAGCTGAAATTTGGTTTAAAAGTTTAGATGTTCAATAACCAATAAGAGGTAAAACAGTCAAACTTACCCCTTCATCAGCCAGCTCTGCCTGTGAATTAAAAAAAAAAAACAGGACAATGAAAATATCTGCCAAATAGATCATATGACACACTATTCAAATCTACTTTATGCAATTATGAAACATCTCAGATATGATTCCCATTAACCTAGGTAAAATAAATAATAGGTCATTGAAAGTTTTCAAAAGCAACCAGTACCATTAATTCCCCCTCTGAGAGCACTAAAGAATTGAAGCAGGTCATGTCTATGTGGGTTTTCATGTTATGAATGTTAATGATCTCTTTCGAATGAATGTACTGTAGCAGCAAAGAGGACCAAAGGTAGCCAGCACACAGATGCTCTAAATAGAAACCCTACAATATTTAAACGTTAGAGGTGATACGGATTTTGTCGAACCATCGTAGAATACATTAAATGGTGTCCTACTGAAGAAAATGCATGATCTTTCTAACTTTGTTTTCATATTTTGTAGACTCCCGGTACAATTCACTGATGGCTTTGACAACACTACATTTCAGTTTCCCTGCATGCTTATCATAATTAATTGTGATACATTGTGGAAATGAATATACCAGTAGACTCATTGTTTACAGCATTTCTGGAAAGAGAAAAAGACAGGAAAAATTCCTCTGGTATAATACAGTGTCACAAAATACAAAACATCTGATGTACAGCATTTTGTATAATACTGTATATGAACGGTTATTACATCAGGTAAGTGTACACAGAGGAACAATGAACACAGCTACTAAAGGCCAAAATGCTGTTAAAAGCAGTGTCCAGAAAGACCCCTTACACAGTCATTAAACATATAGGTATGTACTGCACGAAGATTATGTGAATGTAAATATTGTCTAAATCTCATGAAAATGGTATTGGCTAAGAAAGAGAAATAGAGCTCAGGTATTTACACTGATTAATCCTAAACATAAATTACTCTGTGGTGAAACAAAGAACTGGAAACACCTGACTGCGATTGTTTTTGACATACACATCACATCATTTCTCTAAATCGCATCTGACCAGGAAAAAAAAAAGGAGCTAGGAGAGGACAGTACATGCATGATCTTGTGGATCTTTGGCAGCTGTTTCTGTTTTTCCAGTTACTATAAGCATTCTTGGTTGCTATTAAACTACTTCAATAAAACAATGTGTCATGGCCTTAGGATGCTTAAACAAAAATTCTGAAATATTAAGCAGTAAATTAGTGTGATTTCCACAATCCATTATTCGAACAGCATTCCGTTGTTAAAGGCAATGTGCAGCCGGTCTTGAGATGTGAAATATACTCTTTTTTCTTTGCCCTCAGTCAGACCTCATTCATGCTCTCCATGAACGGTTAACCAACTTTCTTCACAAATACAGAAATAGTTTAGAAATCTCTCTGAAGATCGAGCTCTCTAAATGCAGCAACATTTTCTATGTTTTGTTTTAAAGATGGATAATTAAGAAAGATGGTATTTAAGAAAGAAATGTTTTTGTAATTTAAACAATCTGTTCATTCCTATTTAAACGAATAACGGAAAATTAGTAAAGTCAGAGCTGTTCTACTGAAACGTCCATTTTCATATTAGCTTTACCATCCTTTTTGACATAGGAAAAACATGGGCATTTATTTTAGTAACTCTTACATTAGTATCCTGACAATGTGGTGTCCCCTTTCAACCTTTTATCATTAAGATAAAATTAAAATTAACAAACACATATGTGTTACACTATCTATTATCAATATATCTGTTTTAATAATTAGATCTGCTTTAATTTATTTTAAGTTATTAGTGTTTAAAGAATAAACTTCTAATATTTTTATGAGGTGACAAGTAACTATACATTGTGTCCTGTTTGGAGACCATTCTCAGGTTTAGCAAATGTACTTTGCTCTTATTTTTCTTATTTTAAAACACACAAAAATTCACAATAATAATCTTGTCATCTTGTAGCTAGCTAAGGGTGAAAAGTCTAGCACATGCATATGTATAACATGCCTCAACCTGTATAGTTAATGAAAAGCCTACAAGAGAGATCCATTTTACTTTCCAAAATAAATGTTACATGAAATTTTTTAAAAGCATTTCAACAAAGCATGGATTAAAAGCCTTAATGTTGGGGAGGAGACTCAGTTTATACAGTACCATAAGTAACATTGATATTTTCTGCAAAAGAATAGAAACAGGTCATGTGTATATGGTTTTTCATAATGTATATTGTATGTAGGTTTTAATTTATTTCTCTTCAGTGAATGTAGCAGCAAAGAGTGCCAACAAAAGCAAGCATACTGGTGGTTTTTGATGGTTGTGTAACACAGATATGTTAGGAAAAAGAAATTGAATTGCATGCTTAAAACATTATCTTTTTTCTCCCTAGAAATTTTTTTCCAAAGTTGAAATTGATTTTATTACTAATACGAAATATGTAGATCTAAAAAAATGTTCCTACGTTTAATATTCACTTAACATGCTGGAACTTCTGTGCCCTGTCTTGTTAAGAAAGGGGGAGGGCGTCAGTTTGTTGCAGCATTTTTGTGTTGTTTTCCCAAAAAATTAAAAATCCATGTAAAAATAACAGCTATTAATCCAATAATAATAAGCACCCCATTAGTATTATTAGTGGTGGTGTTGATTTGTGCTCTCTACAATCAGTGTTGGATGTGCTGAATGTGCTTGGTGGGATTTCTCTTTGGATCCTGACCTCTTTGTAACTTCCTTCTGTGTTTGTCAGGGGAAGCAATTAATAAGACAAAAAGACAAAAAAAGTGCTAGGATATGTACACAGAAGTGTGCCCACTGTACACAAGTGTACCCAAGAAAAATGTGTTAAAATTGTATAATGTGCTAGTAAGGCCTGATTCAGAATATTGTGTACAATTTTGGTCACAGAACCACCAAAGATATTGCTGAAGCCGATATCCTGGTAGTATGATGAGTGGAGATCCCTGGATCGAGTAATGAGTAACTACCAAAAGGACTAGATGGGAGGAATTCTTATGTCCTTATGTCATGCCCCTCAGGAAGGTGGAGTTTCATGGAGAAAGGCCCTCCTCATCAAACGAAAAAAACATTTTTTACACTTACTGGTATCCTATACCCTTAATATAGGAGAAGGTTGTAGCCCCAGAAGAGACAACGGAGTCTTACTGGCAACTTCAAAGAGCTCCGGTGTTTTAAGACTCACCATTTCCTTTACGACTTTATCAACAATCCCAGTGTCTTGCAGGTTATAGAGGAACCTAGAGGCCGGGGAGCTAGCCAGCAGGCGCAGCTTAGCAACGTTGGAGGGCTCATTAGCTGCCCTCGTGATACCGATGGTGAAGAATTTAACTCCCTGGTTCTTGGCGTCAGCGGTGGCCGAGAAGATGTCGGGGTTCCTGGGGTGGAACACTCCATCCGTGAAGAGCACTGCGATCTTGACACTTCCTTGGTTTGACTCCTCTAAGTAGATCTGGGTGAGGTTGGTAATGGCGTAGGTGGTGTAGGTACCATGTCCAATGTAGAGAACGGGTGCAACGCGGGACTTGAAGTTCTCAGTTCCTCTCCACTGTTTGAATGTCTGCTCAATGACCACATGGCTGCTGTACTGGAGCAAGGCCGCCTTCCAGCTGAGGCCGCGACCTGACTTGAGGCGGACGCCACCGAGTTTGTCCACCACATTGATGGCGAACTGCTTCTCCCGTTCGTGGTTGTCCTTGGCGCTCTCTGAGCTGTCCACCAGAAATGCCAGCTCGAAGGTGCAGTCTTCATCTAAGATAGCTAAAGACGAGGGGAAGTTATTTAAAAAAAATATAAAATTCAAAGCAAAAATGCTTCTGAGCAGTGGTGTCTTTTGTAAAGGTTTCTCTTGGATCTGAGCCAGAGCACTCGATCAGTGTTATCTCAGTGGAAGACCCAGAGGTAAAAAGACTTATGGCTGTCTAGTAAAGTATAAAGAGCTCTGAAAAGTAATGTCTCCAATGACCCTGATTTCATTACTCATCTTAATCCAAATCTTCATTTAGTTCTAGGGCTTCTTGCTACATGAAGCAGGCTGTAATTCTTTAATAAAGAAAAGCATTTATCTGGAATAGGATCAGTTTGGTTCCTGAAAAATCTGTGACAACACTTCTTATTTCTGATCTTTACAACAACGGAAGGCATGTGTCAAAGGTATGATCTGCTGTGTATCCAGCTTTAATTCTATCATCTTACAGTTCAGCTTCAACGCAGGAAGAAAAAGAAGTTACATATTTTATAGACCATAGTGAACCATGTACTACATTGATGTACTACATTGAAACGCACTAGAGACACAGCAGGAATTTGTTAATGCAGCTTCTTAAGAGATAACTCCTACCTTGGCCATCATGTTTCTCTATTGCATTTGAGGACAACAGTTTGTTTTTTACTTTTTTCGCCACACTTTTGTCTTCATAAGGATCCTGCGAGGAGATGGTTTGAAGTCCTGTCACCAACAGGAGCCATGTGAATGTAGGGTACATTGTTTTTACTCCTGGGGGAGGATTTGTATACTGTAGTTAGCTAAACTTGCACATGAAAACAAAGCATAGTTTTGAAAGTAATAAATCAAACAGACAGGAAAAATATTGCAAAGCAGAACAAATCTATGGTTATATTCATAAAACCTTCTTTGAATTAATTCATATTATTAAAATATTATTCAAACTACAGTGTAAACATGAATGCACTTTGAATTAAAATTTGATCCACGTGCATGCATCTTTATACTACAATTGGTATGTTCTGTATAGAAGTGAAACAATCAAGAGTTGCAGTTAATCCGAGAGTATCTTTCAATAAATTAACATTTTAGATAATATTTAACATGTGATTTTGTGATCTTAAGGAGTAGGTAAAAAGGAAAGAAAGCATGGAACAAATTTAAACATGCTGTATTCATACTGGATTCCTTTCGAAAGAAACAGGAAAGTGGAAGATATACTGTATAGAACAAAACCGAACCTTAAAATGTTAAAGCCTTGGAAGTGAGAGAATTTAGAGTGTGACCTTTTAAAAACCAAGGTGCTTCACTTACCAGGACTACACCTTCCAGTGTGCAGTATTCTTGAAGAATCAGCTTGTCAGAAGCCAAAGCCAAATAACTGAAGCTAGAGAAGGGGGAGAGGTGAGTCGTGAGTTAATTCCCTGTTCCTGTAGCAGCCATCCTGAGGTTGTGGGTTGGAGATCCTGCGTGTAGCCTTTATAGTGGGAGGTGTGCCAGAAGAGGGAGACCCCACAGCCCAGGGTGGGACACAGGAGAGGGAAGGGGGAGGAAGAAAAGGGATGATAGACATAAATCTGATTAAGAATCACAGGTCGTGGTGTCATTGCCTGAACTGATGCAATTTCCTTGTGAATGTAAGGCTACATTCTGAGTTAGGAATAGGATGACAGCTGGAATACTTAACTATCATGAAATGCCCCTCCGTACATAAAGTCGTATCAACAACTACACCAGATAGTCTTCCTAAAGGTCTTCGGATAGTGTCGTTTTCCCACAGAAATAACAGCTACCCCTTTTGCAAAGCCTGAATTTCTCTTAAAGTGATTGTCTTCTGTTAAGGCAAAACAGATTTAGAAAGAAATGGGCTTTTTTCACCCTGACTTGGGTCAGTTCCAATAGAGGCCACAATTGCAAGCCAATAAAACCTCGCTATCACATACCATGAGCCACCCAAGTGGTTGTCATGAGCTCTGAGGCCAGCACCCTGTGATTATCACTCCTTTCAGGTCACTGCAAATAACGGTCTTTTATTTTTATGAGAAACGTATTGTTCAAAGTTTGTTAGGGGATCATAAACAATTTTCCAGATTTCTACTAGTGAGTTTTTTTTCTTCTTTTGTGTAAATAAAAATCTGGATCAAAATGAGCGTTACCTGTCATAGTTTGATTGTAAGTTCTAGTAGGGTTATTTGGACTTCAACTTTCTGTCACAGCTCTTGGGTGCTTGAGTTGAATATATTTAGGAAAAAGTACAACTAATTGTTGTTTTCTTAAATTGGGTATTGTTTATTCGGGTCCCTCCCTGCTCATGGGTTCTCTGTACAATACTTTTATCACACGGAGCGGTAATTTAAGGCAGTAGTTTGACATGCAGTTTTTTTGGTGGAGGAGAGATGAGAAATCAACATCTGTACAGATGGTCTCGTTCATATGGGCCTTCATGACCTGTGAGCTCCTCAGCAATCAGGTGTTTTTAACTCTCTCCCTCGCCACTGAGACTGAACAACTGAAAAGGCTTTAGATAGATATATGTTGGTCAATCTACAGCTGTGACACTCATTTTGTTTTTCACATTTATATGGCGAAGACAAGAAGAAAAACAATTACTTCTGTACATCTACTTGTCTGAAGAAATGCTCTTACAACTTTTTTTTTGAGTAAGGAGGTGTGGCCAAGTTGTACAAAACACTTAAGAGTCCTGTATAGTCATTAAAATCTTACATTTGTTTAATTTCTAAAGATGTTAACACATTTACAGCATATTTGAAACAAATGGATTTTTTTCATATTTGCAAGATGCAGAAAAGGGTAGGAAAGTCTCAGGCGAAAATATCTGTCTTAATTCATTCTTCAGTCGGTGTGTGAAGAGCTGTACTGTAACATGAGTACTGGTATGAATTTCGTATGACATTGATCCTGTGCTGACTGGTTTAGCGCTCGTGCAATCCCCTCTTCAATTCCTGAGCCAGCTGTGCTTTAGGTGACAAGGATTTTTATTTTAAACCTGGAGGCAGAAAGCAATCAGAGGTGAGCTGTCAGAAAAGAATGCTGCATTGAAAGATGGCACCACAGAAATCCCAGCCCCAAGACCTCCTTATTTTATGCACAAAAAAGAATAAATATGATAAATTCTTGACACTTTGTTTGATTCCAGTCATTGAGAACTGTGTAAAATCAGGTAATGTTGCTTTGCTTTTCTTGATTTAAATGTGAATTTGAGAAGATTGAAGATAAGCAACTACTGTCTGAAAATATACCTTTTATACTTAGTAGTTCAACAGAAAACTGTGGTTAATTGTCATTGAACCTGGTTTTAAAACATATATTCAATGTTGTTTTGCTCATTTAAAAATAAATAAACATTCCAATTACACATTAAATATTACATACTACAAATAAATATCAAAATGCTGTGAAGAATACAACAATGTTTTCTTTTTGGCTTACATTATATCAATGCTTCTGAACAGTTATACAGGGATCTCCTAATGTTGGCCAATTTGAACAACTGCATCCTGAAAGTTGGTAACTTTGGACCAGCGAAACTCCTAACAGATTAAAATGGAACCTTTGGGATTACAGCAGTACATGGCAGGGAATGAATATCATCAGTGTCCGCCACAGGACATGCAGTGCAATGCAAGGATATTAAATTAACACCAGACACAATAATACCCTCTGTGCACTATTGGTGCTTTTTTGTTTAGAGATGGGAAACTACAGTAAGTACATTACTCAGTTCAAACTGGTTCATACATTCACTGGATGAACATAGCAGTTGAGCATTGCCTTTCATGTACCCTAAGGAGACTGATAAAACCAGTCTGGGATCCACAGTGCAGAATTTGGTGGTTGAGTGGGTGTCAATGGGAGGCAAGAGAACAAGGTAAAGTGAGAATAGGTAAGTTGATCTGAAAAGGGAGGCCAAAAACCCCAAATGGAGGATGCTCATAGGGAATTCTGGGGGACACACACCAGGGAAAGTTCAGAAGGTAGGAACCTGCAAATGAATGGATATGTTGGATAAGTCATGAGCTGGGGAAAGGTTTGAAGCTAGACCAAGAGTAAGTTTGGCTTCCAATGTCTTTCTGGAGAAGGAGTTTTTGAATATCTGATAAAGGATGCTTAAAGAAAGGTTAGTCTAATTGTGAGCAGGAGAAGTAAAATGCAGACTTGTTGGTTTGGTCTTCCGGTTTCTCCACAGCGTTGTGAGTGGCAGCGCACTTTCCGAAAGAGATACCATAAATGACCAGCACAATCATCGCGCCCCCTCCATGATCTTGGGTCATGTATGTGTGAGCTGCTGGATTGGGATTTGCAGCTGATTCAGAGGCTTGTGTTGCAACAAAAAGTACGAGGCTTGGTAGTGCCTACGAATGGTCTTCCCTTTTCAGCATGGAGCCTCCCTCTACTCGTTCTGCAAATGCATCTTCACAAACACTATAGAACACTACAAAATGATTGTGAAGAAAGTGTTAAGAGCATGGGCTTCAGATTTTCACACGCACACACATAAAGTGCTTCAATCCACATATCTATAGTGCTCTCCATTCGGCATGTTGTATGTTTAACTTTGTCAGCAAAATGGCTGTAGAACTTCTCTTTCCCCTTATACTTTTAATTTTAAAAAAAAGTTTCTTCAAAGTATGAAATGTTGAGATTTATCTTATTTTTTAAAATTAAAAATAATTCTGCCTAAAATTCAGAACACCATTGTATTTGATCACTGTGACACAATTCTATTTTTCTAATTTTACACAAGCATAAAAATGTAAACTGTACCTTATTCAGAAATGACTCTAATGATTGTTTCTTTAAATTACACATAGCTAATGGTTAAATTGTCTAGCTAATGGTAACTAATTTAAGCTTGCGTCTGCATTAGTCCTTGCAAATAAAATATGTAACTGTCTTTCCCATATTGGATACATTTTTAAAATGTCTTTCAAAACTCCTATTTCCTAATCAGTCGGGTATCGTATTTAAATTTCTCACTGGTTCTTGCAGTACTTGTAGCCAATTTAATTGTAATTTGTTATATACTGTATCATTATATAAAGATCCTTGGAATATACTGTAGCAGTGCAACCATTTTCTTATTCCATCAAACACATACAGTATAACTTTATCGTTTAATGTGCCTGCCACCATTTGGCTTAAATTTACCAGTTTAAGGTGAGTCCCACTACAGTACATTCCGAATTTCATGTTTTATCTTGTATAGGTATGTAAAATATTTAATCTATAGAATGAATTAAAAAGCAATATATAATGAATCTCTTGTCAAAGCAAACAAAGACAAATGAAATCTGAAAATGAAATGTTGCACGGTATTTTGGATCAGTAGTATAATTTTAGCACTGTGCAATTTATTTCAGTTAATTTAAACAAATTGTCAATTCTCTGTTTTGGCCACAGTGCGGTTTTGGCCACAACATTACTCCTATCCAAGCTAGTGTGTTTTATTTTTGGCTTTTCACAAAAGACATTACAACTTGGAAGGCCTGTTTCCAATAACATGAAATTTTAAGTAGCAGTTGAATAACTGCTTATTCACAACATTGTGTGTATCATGTGTCTTTAAAAAAGATCTAAAATACTTTTCTTTTTGTAGGTTGAAGGACACATGATTTTGCTTAAGTGAAGAAAACATCATATTTAAAATTTTCACACCCAATCATTCTGGATTTCATGGCATTATCCCCATATCCACCTCTCCACACTGCTGTCAGCAAACATGCTCTACCAAACACGTTACACCCAACAGCCAACAGGGGTTTTAATACAGAGCACTCCCAGGACAATCCACAGTTAAAGAAGCGGTCATATAATGTTATGGAATGCATTTGCAAAGTGAGGTGAGAACAGTATTTTTATATGGCTCTCTAGCCATCATGACAATCTGATAGACTTCAGGTTTTATTACTTCAACCTGACATTTGAAGAACGAGTAGTGGAGCTTGCATTTTTACTTATTAGCAATTCCCATTCAGGTAGATGCAATTGACATGCTCAGCACCTGGACTTAGTAAAAGGAAGACCGTGGATACTGTCATGTGTAGAATGTGAATATTACCTCATTAATTAAAGGGCATACGCTTGTGATGTAATTGAAAATTCCCTCAAAACACATAATGTCTCACTACCAAACTGCTGTGTAAAAAGATGAAACTGAAAACAAATAGAAATAGAAGAGTGAAACCAAAAATACCCATTCTTCAAGGTGTTTCTAAGGGAGTTCTAATTATCCACAAATCAGCTCTGGGTGGGGAGGAGAACAGAGTGATGAAGCCAATTGATCGAAGGTGATTATTAGGAGGCCATAATTGGTAAAGGCCAGGGGGAAAATTAGCCAGGACACCAGAGTAACACTCCTACGCTTTCAAGAAACACCCAGGGATTTTTAATGACCATATAGAGTCAAGACCTTGGTTTTGCATCTCATTTGAAGGACAGCACC